TGTTTTATTTTAGATTGTGTTCCCCTGTGTCTTCTTTAGTTCAACTTCCTCTATGTGACCTGCCTTGCCCTTCTTACTGGTCTTTTGAAATATATAAGTTTTCTATAAATCCACATTTAAGTACAATAAACTCGGCTCGCTCTCGGCCCACTCTAGCTTCAGAACCAGAACACAATGCAGAAGACCAGAAGAACCATAGCTGGCAAGAACGTGTCACTTCCACTGTGCATGAGCCAATGAGCACAGGCCATTGAAATGGAGACTGGAGGCAGACATCTTGAAGACCTGTGTAGTCCTTGGTTCCCTGTTCTGTCACTGTGTGTTGGCTGCACATGTCTTTTAGTTTTTGTCTTTGGCTCCGTTTTGGAATTTTGTTCTGGTCTTTGATTTGATGCGCTTTTGTAAATGTAACGTATTCCTTTTGAAACGTTACAATAATATTGTTTTTATGGATAGAATGCTTTGTATTTTCCCCATGTAACTTGACCAAAATGATCAATTATTGAAAATGCAGCAGAATATATATATATTTTTTCATCAAAAATAGTCCCAATAGATTCAAAATGTCTCTTGAACAGAACATGCAAAAGAATGTAGAGCTTTTGGAATGACATTTTGTACCAATAAAATAAGCATATTTTGGCTATTGATTGGTCAAGAGGAGGTAAAACTTATAGAAATTTCAGTTTTCAACACAGTGTCAGACCAGTTCAACCTAATGTCAAACTCATGCTATAAGACAAATAAATTATATGCAAATTATTGTACAAGTTGAGGCTGAGGACTTGTTGCTTCTAAGAGTGATTGGACGTCCATGATCCTTAAACCGCGCTGCACTGAAACCGAAGAGGATTGCGTGTTGTTGTGGGAAAGTCGTTTGGAGTTGCAGAGATTAATTAAATCAGTAATATAGCAATGATATTAATAGTTGGGCAAAGTTCAATATATGAATAATTAGTGTCATCCCGTGGGAGCTCTTGATGTAAAATTAGATTACTGCCAAGATAAATAATTAACAACACTATGATTATGAAAAGCTGATCCGACTATGAGCAAGAGTCATTTATATATTGGAAAATAATCAGTGTTTGTATTTGACCACACTGTGCTCATCATGCATGTGCTTACGAGAGCCCTGGACCCCAGTCTTTTGTCTGTTTTGTCTCTCACTCCACACAGAGAGATGGCAGCGGGGTCATATATAAGTATTGTATTCTTATGATGTCTTTGATTAATTATATATTAAATATATCTTTGAATGGTGATCCTTGCAGTTTTCATAATTAGTCTAAATTGTGATTGTGACCTACGAGCAGAAGAGAGTGGTCTCATGTTTCCTCTTGTTGTGCCACACTTGCTCCTCCCCGGCCCCCGCCCCTTGCTATCGAGCGGCCAGCAGACATTCTTGACATTTTGCAAAGGTTGAAAGACAAAAAGCCTTTGTCCTAATAAGGCCGCGTTCTCTCCTCACCTGAATGAGAAACCGTTTGCAGTGATGAAAACCAGCTTTTTTTCCCTAAATCTTTGAATCAGCAATATATACTGTATGTGTATATGTGATTAACCTCATCATTGTCATGCATTTGATTTATTTATATAGCACATATTTGGACACTCAAAGACCTTGCACAGTCATTCATCCCATACTGGGTGTGGCTGCCCTGGGGTAGAATGTTGAAAGAGAGTCTACCACCGGCTCCTCAACCAACAATAGCTGATACACCATAACAATGTGTCATAATTCATCACGTGCACAAAATAAAGAGTAACAAAAGATAATGATAAAAGAGCATAATATACACACATACATGTAAGGCCTTTCTGTATGGAGTTTGCATGTTCTCCCAGTGTCTGCATAGGTTTTCCCGGGTGCTGAGTGAATGGAAGAAAATCTGAACTCTGAAAATTGTATAGCACTTTGGGTGACCTTGGTCTGAAAAATACGCTATAAAAAAAGAAACATTACTTAAAAGAGTCTTAAAAGAGACGAGACATATAAGCTACGCTAAACAAAAGTTGTTTTTCTGACCTAACTGATCTGACAAGAACATACATATTGCCATTATGAAAAATGACCTATATCATTTATAAATTAATTGAATGCAAGAATCCAGAGGCCACATTGAGACAGACGCAGGCCCAGAGGGAGAAGGCACTGAAGAGGGACCACTCTGCAGCAGGTCACAATCTGTGTGGAATAAATAAACATGCCAGGGTAATAACATAGCTATCTTATAAATGTCTGGTACAGTATAACCAAATAGCTTAATTACCGAAGAAAACTAGATGAACTTTCCTAAACTGGAGTAAACAAACTGCTAATGCTGCTCTCTAGTATGTACTGTATGTTACTTATGGATTATATTCACATGTATTTAAAATGAATTTGTGTATTACTTTTTTTCAAATCATTTAGTACATGAGAGAAAAGTACTGAACGTGGATGTCTGCAGACCAAACTAAAACCAAACTCACGCTAAAATGTATAAATCGCAAAGAGAGCTTCACTTTGGCCACAGACTCAGCTCACGCACATGTATTTTGTTTTGCTGTACATATAATAATGGCTTTCAAACTGGCTGTTATTTCATCCTGTATGTGCAGCAGTTAAATCTCAGCCGTTAGATTCACCAATTAACTTTTATTGCCAGGTTATTTTTAGGATATAAAAAATAATCGTTTGTTGTCAGTGTTGCTTTCGGAAAACCTGAACAATACACAGGTATATTTCAAATGTATTTAGAATATTGTTCTTATGTCTATTACACACACACAGTGACAAGTGCAAAGCCTTTGTTTGTTCTATTTCTGGGGATTATGGCTTACCGTCATAATATTCAAATTTTCAGAACTATTTTATTGAGGATTGTTACAATCTGTGAGGGGATCATCAACATTAAAACAAATAAAGGCTTGTTATATCTCACACATTTCACATTTTAAGTTACGGAAATAAATGGACTTTTAGATTAGAGGTTGATAGATACTTTATTGGTCCCCATAGGAACATATCAGGTGTCGAGCAGCAGAAACACATCCGTCCATACAAACACATAAGTACATCAATTTAAAAAAATATATATTACTAACTAACATCTTAATTTAAACTTTTGAACTATATGCTAATTTTCCGAGTTTCACCTGTACTGAAGAGAAGTACACATGGTCCATCAGTCCAGGATCATCATGTTGTTAGAATAAAATACAAAAGTTCCCCTCAGTATCTACAACATCGCAGATATATAAATTTCTTTTATCCATCAGATAACCACAACATTAAGAGAAAAATCACTGCATTCTGGAGTAATGACTTGCTCCATTGGAACATAATTACATAAAACACACTCATATCCATAAAAGATGAAACCTAAAACAATGTAAAGTGTCTGTGTTGACTTCACCTGCTTGTTTGTGTGTGTGGGTTCTCTGTCAGTCACTCAGATGTGGGCAGAGATGGGATCATGTTCAGACTTCTAGATTTATTCTCCTAGCGACTCAGGAGCCAATATTAGCCACGCGGCCGTTGTGTTACCCATGAGTACGTTGCCGTGGAAACATTGCATAAGAGGGAGTGGGATTGTGGGATGCCCCTTGCTGATTGGGAGGCAAGGTGGCAGCTCTTCTCTCCGTTTCCCCCTTTCTACCTTGTATCTGCTCTTCGCTAACTGTAGGTGTCACAACACGAGGGGCTGCGACTGTGCTGCACATGTTCAATTAACTTCAGGGCTTCTGCAACGATGGATCTGTTCTGCACTATTCGCACCAGCAAAAGTTTCTGACGAGGGCAATAGAACCTCCTTTCTGACTCCTCCTTAAAACAGACATTTATATATTTTCACATTTTCCCTGATTTTCAAATAATATTAAAGTTGCAGCATGTAAGATTTTCATGTCAAGTCCTCATTAAATGTCCCTAATCTGTCAAAAGGCATTAACAAAACATGCTCTTTTCAAATACGTCTTTAACTGATAACAGTAGTTCAGCCGAGATATTTGGATTTGAAAATTAGTTTTACAGTCCCTAAATCTTGTTATTGTTTACATTTCGATGCCTCGCCCTCCGCCGTTTTACCAATCAGAAAGTCTATGATCCAGGTTGCCAGAACGCACCGCATGGAGCTAATCTCACGAGTAACATGTGACTGCAGAGCTAAAAAAGGTCTTGTCATGACAAAACAAGGAATAAAAAAAGGATTTCTATCGAGGCCTTTGTGAAAAAGGTGTTGGTTATGGATTTGTTTTGTCTATTCAGCTATTATGGTCCCAGTTGGATTCGTCTGCATATCTGGCAACCTGAGTCAGGGAGAGTGGGAAAGGTTGCAGCACCACTTTTGACCAGATTTTCACATACTGCTCCTTTAAGATTAAGAGATTAAGAGTTCATTTGTCTCAGAAATGTCAGTGTTGCATCACAGGTTACTGAAAAGAAGGAATGAGGAGCAAACAACACAAGTTTTAGAAAGAAGAAATTGGTTTAGGAAAATATGAATCGCTTTGACTGACAATTTGATTTAGAAATTGAATTTTGAAAGAATCCTGGCCCTAGCTTTGAGACGTGATCGTGGAAATGTCAAGATCAAACTATAACTCTAAATCTTTTGTCTTAGACTCCTTGTGCCGCTCTGTGGGAGGGCTTGATTGAGTTGTAAAAGAGTTGGCTTTGTTGAATCTGATTCCACACGTTTCATGTTCACCAGTGTGAATTGTCCTTGCTGGGCTTCTGTAGAAGAGACGTGGTACCAGGATGATGAGACAGAGGCAGCAGGACGAGGAGGGGAGGACCGTGAGCAGCCTTGACTCCAAACACAGGATAATTTATCATCTATGGACTCACAGGCTGCGACTGCCAAGCTTAAAAGGAAAACAGGATTGGATTAGATACCTGAAAGCACCGCTACCTGATTTAGTTTTTCAGTCACGGCCAAAAGGCGCCTTTGACACAATAACAGCTCAGTTACCTTGACTGCTTTCAGTCATTTATCTCCTGCAGGTTTTGGTTCATGGGTGGCTGGGGTTTGTCTCAGCCTCTCGTCCTAAAGCAGAGAACCAATGGAGCTGCCAAGTCCCACCCACTCAGCAGCGGGCTCTGGCTCTGGACAGAGTTTGGGGAAAATCACAATATCATACGTTTGAAGACATGATGGAGGGCAACAGCTATGTGCCATCAACTGTTCTCTGTGCGGTTGTTTACTACTACTACTACGTCACATTCCGCTGAATAGTTAATAATTCATCCCCACCGCTGTCAGACTGTACAATAAGTCTCTTTAAGTCACTAATGACCTTCACTAGAACTGAAAAACCCCACACTGCTTTAGCCACTTTTTATTGTACATAATAAATCCTGCACAAAAAAGATTATATTTCTAACCTTTAACATTTTTGCACACTTCATGTCTTTTGTTCAACCTGATCCTAATGTGACATGTAAATGTCTCCATTGTGAGATCAATAAAGTTTACCTTATCTTATCTTATCTCGATTGAGGTTATTGTTCACCACAAAGCTGATGAGCCCTGTAGCTTTTCAACTTAATGTATTATAATTTAAACTGCATGCAATGTTTACCCCAGCAACAGGTCGCTTAGTCCTTGTTGGATCAATATCCTAATATTCACATTTCTGAACTAAGCCTAATACATTAAAGACATCTTGGCACTATTCTAATCAACATTTAACCTGTAATAAAGTTTCTCATGTCGTTAGCATTTTGCCTGACTGCACTGAGAGCAGAGCGAGCTGCCCCTGAGTGCTGGAGCAGCTCCGTCCATGTGTTAGCTCTGTACCATCTGCTGCCTCTATAGAGGAAAACATATTTAGTGAAAAAGGGAGTATGTGCAACCACATTAACATAACTTACTGCAATGTTTTTTTAACCTGAGGGTCACAAAATGTTTTCAGGGAGTCCTCCAATATTTTGTTTTTATAGTTAATTTAACTGCAATCTCTTAGGTCTGAGTTATGAATGTTAATCCTGTGCGTAACTATATTATTATATGTTTGTCTTGTGATGCAGGTGCAGACCTGGGCGGCCTGATGGACCTGGAGACTCTGTACCGTGGAGTGGAGCAGAGCATAAACCACACCCGAGCCAGCCGCTCCCGCAGACACAGCATGGACCGGGCCTACAACATCGAGGTGCTGCTGGGGGTGGACGACTCTGTGGTGCAGTTTCATGGAAAAGACCACGTTCAGAAATATCTCCTCACACTCATGAACATAGTAAGTCCCATGAACATAGTGTGTCTGTTGATATTCCGATACGTGCATAGTGTTGTTGTCTCTACACTACATTTAAACTATATTTCTATCCTAGACAAATTCTATACCACTATCATTATTTCTAAATGCTACTTTTGATTTTTAAAGTAGCAGTATGTAATATTTGCATGTCAAGTCATCATTAAATGGCCCCAATATTTCAAAAGGCGTTATTAAATCATGCTCTTTTTGAATACATCTTTAACTGATAACAGTAGTTCAGCCGAGATATTTGAATATCAAAATTAGTTTTACGACCCGTAAAAGTTGTTATTGTTTTCATTTTGGCGGCCTGCCCTCCGCCGCTGCGCAAATCAGGAAGTCCCATGGAAGTCTGTGATCGGGTTGCCAGAACTCCGCACGGCTAGCTAATCTCAGAGGTAAAATAATATGTGGCTGCAGAATTAAAAAAGGTCTTGTTATGACTCTCAAATCATTAATGACAAAACAAAGACTAAAACGAGAATTTATATCGGGAGGCCTTTGAAAAATTGAGACAGCGGATAAAACTTTTTGTGTGATGCAAAACTTTGAGCCCATTCTGCATCCGGCATCTGCTAACCCTAACCTGGTGGCCTGGGTTTGAGTCTGAGGAGAGTAACATTGTATCTGATTTTTTGACAGATTGCTCAAAAAACGGACATAAAATAATAACTCAAAATACTACTACAATATATTTGGCTAATCTCTCTCATAAGTGTGTGCCAATCCTTTCAATTCTTCTTGATGACGTAAGTTGCGTCATCAGGCAGAGAAGAGACAAGACAAAAAAGTCAAATGATGTTTTCAGAATGGGGCAATTTCTGTTTTTGAATTAAACACGAGGGAATTAGCATGTGTACTTTCTCGAATTAGCATCTAGTTTAGATGCGACTTCAATAATTTGATTCCTTTGACATCCCTAATGCATAGCGCTGGTGACGCAGGTGTTCTGGGAGTGAAGCGTCAAACTGTTCTTGGACTATTACAGCCTTAGAAACAGCTTCACCAAAGACAACACAATAGGCTCGGGAACTACAGTATATATGTTAAACCTTTATTCGTCCCACAGTTTCAATGTTCCAGCGCACATACAGGACAGTAGGACACAGGAAGCAGACAAAATTTACAATATAAGCTGTAAATGCTTAGATATCAATATATCGATATAGCTGTATCTATATATACATAGTGTAATGTTATATACATAGCTGACCGGATACTACTGCATATGATTACAGTATTGACTATTTACAGATGAATGACATGTACAGGCTCAGCAGTTGTCTGACAGCAGCAGGAAGGAAATAAATACTGTACCCACTTTAGTTCCTTCAATTCCAATTATACATTTCACACCGTATGAAAATCCCACATAGTAGAAACCTATTGTTTTTGTTACGATGCAGGCTCCAACCTCAACAGGCTTCCCTTGATCACACACAATCCACCTAATTTGTTAGATTTCACATGTTCGCGCCTATATGTTCTACAGACCTGCTTGTTCTGGGATGAAATAAATTACTTTTCTTTTGTACTCCCAAAATGTTGAGTTTGATGTGAGTTCTGTCTGAGGCAAATCAGGGAGAGGTCACAGAACGCACACACCGCAACAGGAATAAGCGTCCAATTCTCCCCTGACATGTTTTCATCAAGCAATCAGCCACTGGTAATCCTCCTGCGCTATCTGAATATGATGAGATTTCTTTGTGTGTGTGTGTGCGTGTGTGTGCGTGTGTGTGCGTGCGTGGGGTCTGCTGAATGTCATTGTTCATTGACGGGGATTGGACGAGCCACACTTTGTCCATCTCCGTGCTCTAACTTCTTCCCCTCCACTTGAGCTTTTAAACCGTGCAAAACAAACCCCTCGGCTGGATGAATTTGTGCTCTGACTCCGAGTGCGTCACGCGGCTCGGATCCTCTGCCTCAGCCGAGCGCAAGCACATAGCATTTCCCACCTTTTTTTTTTTTTGGAGATGTTTGTTTGACAATCCTGGAGAGACGGGAGCAGCCCCAGTCTAATCTGTAAGGGGAAGGAGTATTTTAAATTCTTGCACTCAGAATAAATTACTGACAGACAGATAAACAGAGATAAATAAATAAATGTGCCGCTGCCTCCCACTCTTGACATCTGGGCGACTTTCTTCTTGAAAGTTTTCTTTGCTCGCTTCAGGATCGGGGGGTGCTGAAGATCCAGCTTTCATTCCATGCCTGACTCAGTGCACTTTACATTGTTGCTCCTGCATGACTTCCCTGTTTTATGCCTCAATGTCAACTTTGCTACTATTAGCGATGCAAAAAGACGGCATTTGTGAACGGTACAGTCGCATGAGGCCTGGACAATGTGCATGGAAACACTTTTTAAAGTTTGTCACACTTACACGTCAAAATGATGTGATGGAGCCTATATAGGATAATATATAGTGTTGATTGTGCTAATCCATTGGTGGAGATAACATCACCCTGCTATAGGCGTGTGTGTATGTATGTGTCTGTGCATGTGTGTGTCTGATGTGTGTGTGTGGGTGTGTGCGTGTGTAGTGTGAGAGGTGGGATACAGCCTACACCTCCGCCTCTCCTGTATCTTCCTCACACGTGCGTCTTGTGCTAGTGAAATGAGCGTGCCGTCAATCTGGGTCTACTAATTATTATCAGGTTTGCTATGAATGATTATAAATGTGATAAATGTGATTGTTCATAAGCGGTGGCCAATGGTAAAAGGATTTCAATCACACTTTGTTGTTGTTCTAAGTTCAAGCGGTAGGTTACTAGTCGGAAATAATAATAATAATAATAATTCAGTCTAATCATTGTTGAAGGAGGATGTGGAGTGTATTTATTTCACTTTATGGAGCACACTGAAGATTCAAGCCATGAAAAATCCCTTTAGCCCTCCTTCAGACCTGGTTCAGACTTGGTTCAGACCTGGTTCAGACCTGGTACTGTCCTTGTTAAGAGCTGAACATGTGCGGTGTATCTGTTTTCAGGTTGACTCGAGCATGCACACAAAATGCGAACACGTTTTTGACTTCAACAATGACAGTGTCTCCGAAATGATTCTAAATCTAATCTAAGGAAAATAAAAAACCATTAAACTATGAGATTCTACTGAGATTATATTTGCAGAATCAGCTTTTATACACGTGTTGAGTAAACTCTGTAACCAGTGTTGTTCAGGTCAGATGTTTATGTGCTCATGTTGTTAGTTATGAAACCTATTTTATAAACTTTTATTTTATTGAAACTCACAGACATTTTCCAAGAACTTTCTACAGCTGTTTATCGACATTTCCTTTTTGGTGACAATTTAAATGACTTTTTTAACCATAAAATGCATTCAATTTGAATCCACAAATATTCCAATGGGGAGTGTGACATGGCTTATGTTTGCCATCTCAAAAGTTGGTAGAGCAAAATAAGCTTGAGAAGCACTAAAGGTATTGAAAAGCTACTTGAAGAGTCCTAATTGGCTTTCTTAGACATGTTTTTAGGCTTTACTGACCGAAAACAGTTAGGTCAGTGAAGTATACGCCCAGTTTGAACATTTCGTAATATGGAACTTAATATATTTCCACATGAGACAGTTCCATTTTATGATTTTACAGCACTTTCTATGAAATCAGGCAGGTTATTTTACACCTCCAGGGAGTCACACAGTTCAATCAAATGTTAATTTAGCAAATTTGGCTTAAACTGTAATTTCACATCGTGGTTGGTCCTAGAAACCATACAGTTAACAAGATCCAAAGCTAATCTAATTTCTACTTTTGGATATAAAGTCCAGGGTTCAGTTAGGTTCAAGGCCATTGAAAACAGATGATAGAAGCAAATGTGGGCGCATTGTCCAGAGCGGTGATAATAGACACTAATCAAAAACACTGGATCTAAGACCCGCGGGTCTTTCCGAACCTCTGTGGTTTGACTGTGTCGAGAGGGCGTGCTCTCTGATTAAAGATGACCCAAAGTTCAGCATTGTTCAAATGAGTTGGACACATGGACTTCCAGATGTAGGGCTGGGACCCTCACAATCTGATATGTGCGATTACATGGCTCACATTAAGAGAATATCACAATAAATAAGAAATAGTGCAATATGTCTTGATATTCAAACTGTTGTAGAAGTGAATGTGCTCGGTGTCACTGAGGCCAAAGCGATTGGAAGACAGCAGGAGAGGAGCGGCTTTGTCCAGCGTTTTCTTTGTGCGAGTTTGGTTTATTTCTTTTTTGTGGGTGGCACAAGATAATTTTTGTTATTTACTTTTTACATTATGAAACTGATTTGAACAAATTATTGTTTTCATCTAACTGGGGGTAAGGATATTCCTTTGTTTTTTTCTTAAACAAAATAAAAACGGTTGGATTTGGATTCAAAACAGAACTGGAGTAAATGACTGCGTATTGTTCAATGAATAAATGTAATTTAAAATTGTTAAAGCTTTTCATTTCCTTGCACTAAACAGTGGTCTCTGGTGACTTAATAATCGTCCAGAAACAGGGATTACGCCCTAGATTCTAGATCCTGTATTTCTGTGCGTCACAGCGAAATACAAAAAATACACTGGCCTGAGATTACCCATTTTGAATGGTAAACTACACATCGTGTCTGTAACATGCAAAGTGCTCCATTACAGCGTGAAATCATATTTCCTGCTGTTGTGTTGGACAATGTACTGTATCCAAATGCCAAGCGGAGGTCAGCGCACAGTGATGGATCCAGAGGAGGAGTGTGATCCGTCTCTTCACCTGTGCCTCTCCTATTAACAGAGACCTTTAGAGGAGTGTGCTGTGTTCATTACTTCATTACATTCTCCAAGGATACAAGTCATCTGCAACACGCTACTCTGATGGAATAACCTCTTTGTTTTACTGATGGACGGGGTCAATGCACAGTGAATTAGACAATCTGGATGATTACTATGACTACTTCTATGCCAACAACTGGGAAGAGTCTTTTTCTGTGTGACATTCAAAGTGTGGCTGAGGCGAGCATGTTTGTGGAAACACTTTATTATTAATTATGATGTATCTGAACCATGGGACCACCTGTGGTCGCTTTCATTTACTGTTCATAAACAGGCATGAGGTGGGTCCTAGTTATTCTCATTGTCTTGAAACATGCAAAATGAGAATCTGTCAAACACGTTTATGGTTCATGGAATCTATCGTCAAAACACAAACTAAATGGCAAATGAAGAGACCTCCTCTTTTCTGAGGAGGTTCCCAGTTTCAATACTCTGCTCCCACTGAACTGTATAGATCTTTATGTGAAATAAATAACATAATTTTGTTGCACTTTTGTGTTGATTCTTAAGCAGTCCCTGATCTGCCTATTTCCCTTACGTAAATGCTGGTTCATTACATGTATCCATTTTTCATTCTGTCCTCATCCGTACAGGGTTAAGTGACATGGCCCAGCTGCATTATTTATCTAAAAGTAATGATTTGGACCTGCTGACCTATGAGCCACAGCTTACAACAGGAACACACAACTACTGAGGAACAAACTGTACCAAAAGTGTGCAACACTTTCTCTGCCATTTCTACTGCAGCGGGGTCATTATAGTGCCCGTTCCTCCTCTTCCAGATGTAGGCATTGTAAGTTTATATTTGTAAAATTAACAATATTAATAATTAAGAAAAAGGGGAGATAGCTTCATTCGTTTATCTGCCCTGAGTTTGACAGTACTGTGCGGTTTAAGGGTTGGGATTCAGAGCTTAAAAGCCTCAAAGTTGGTTGAATATCTAACTTTTTGATGCAATGGAGATTATAGTAAATGTGTCAATATGTTTGCATGTAAATATGTCAGATGTCAGATGGAGGCTAATTTCCATCTGTAGTCCTACGGCAGGTTTATGTTTCCAACAAATACACAAACAATTATTGAAAGCCACATGCAGACACACAGATGTTAGTACTAGCTGACTGGAACAAATGAACAAAACAAAAAATAGATTCACTTAATGATCAACAGAATTAAGACAACGACTCAAAAATACAATAAAATAATGTAATAACTCACCAAACATGTAAAATGAAGGGATATGGCTATATAAAATGTGTCTAAAGAGTAAGAAGAAGTAGTTATCTTGCCGTCTTCTCTCATAAAGACGCACAATCTGCTTTCTCCAGAGAGGTGCATTTGCTTTGCATGAAACCTTTAGCAAGATGCCAATAACTTATCCGTGGAGTCAGGGAATTGGCAACTCCAGATCAGTTCTGTGGAGAGGCGTCTCTTGCTCACAATCCAGACGCATGTGCTTGATAGGTGCAGAGTTTACTGCCTAATTGTGAAAACTATCTCCATGGAGACAAGTGAAGCACCAATGCACTCGCAAAGTTACAGAGCTTCAAATTGTGTTTTGTGTTTACATTTTCCACAACTTTTCAGAGTATTTTTCTCCTTTGTTGTCCTTTAGCTGTATGGTGTGTCGTCTCTGCAGGCTGTATGGTGTTCTTTCTTTTGCGTGGCCACGTCTGGTCTTGTCTCACTGCAGTGTGTGTGTGTGTGTGTGTGTGTGTGTGTGTGTGTCCATCAGCTCTCTCATTATGATTGTCTGTTTTTACATCCTTTTGCCTCATTAAGCCCTGCGCACAGCACACGGAGGACAGCAGCCCTCGACTCCGACGCCAATTTAGACCTTCTCTCTCCATTGCACTGGCGTTGTGTCAAAGGCATTGTCTCTGTGTCTCCTGTGTCACAAATTACGCTGTTTCCCTGCATTAAGCCATTCCTCTGCTTAGTGTTCTCTTCCCCTTATCCAGCCCATATTTGCTCACAGGGAGCTGACTTCAGTGCAATTTATTTTGGGCCAGGCACCGGTGGCAGTTGTCCCGATGTCCACTCGCAAAGTCTTCAATGCTTCTAATGCTAAAAATCATACAATATATATTCTGTGAGTCCACCACTTTACCCAAAGTTATTTTTAACTGCTGCATCAACTATGACTTTCTGTAACTTGTTGCGACATATTGGTCTTGTGTTTGTGAGACGAGATAGCTTTGGGTGCGGACAATATTGACTAGAAAGTATTTGTTGAGCCTTTTTATTTTTTGTCTTTTCTCTTGTTCTTTTGAACCACAATATATGTGTATACATCATAACTTGTTTTGACTTGGGGAATAATGACTAACTTAAATATCCCGGGTTTATTTTATGATGTATTTCTACCACTATGATCAGACAATCCCATGGCAGTATTGTGCATCTGCTTAACAGGCAACCTCAATAAGGTTCAATAAGGTTATGCTTTATTGTCCCCTTAAGCAAAGGCATCTTTTCTGGGGACTCATCTCCGGATTCACCTTTAAAAGCAATACAATCATTTATTCTTTTATTAAAAATGATAATCACACTATTTGTCTTGCCTAAAGTGCAGTGTAGGGTGCTTTCTGTAACCTGTGAAATGCAAAATCATATTTCCCATAGAAAACATATGGTGAAGAAAGAATAAAGGGTGAATAATGGTATCGGACTGCCCTATACCTCTGCTACCATTAGAGAGAGGTGTAGAATTTTTATTTTTTCTTTAAAGAGAATTACAGGCTGCAAATAACGTCTAATAGATGAGCGATATTGTTGTTTTAAAAGTGGTAAAATGACAATATATTATTACAGGACTGAGACAGAACTTTCAGACAGAAGGGACGGCGTTACATGTTTGTGCCAGAAGTTAACGACATCAGAGTGGATGGATCCAAAAACAACTGTAGGTCCGTCTGTGATGGGGGAACAATGTTGTTAAAATCTCAAAGCAGTCATTTTTACCTAAACATTAAACAGAAAAGCTCACCACAAAAAGGCGTGAATCTGAACCCTGTAAGAATGCGTGAGATATTATTATTGCCTGTTTTATTTTTAATCAAGTGTTGGCAAGTCTGATAACACTGCACTTGATATTCAAAACAACAATTGCGATGCATTTTTCATTTTGCTGCCCACCTGTTGAAATTGTGTTGGCTACAGATTCGTATCTGCTGATGCTATTTTTAAGAGTCAGTAATGATGATTTCTGATGAAGAGAGCTGTTTCTGAGGCAGTAAGGCCACCATTGTTATTATGTGTTTTCTCGTTGTCTTAGTTACCGGTACATGACTTGTTCACACGTAAACATGGTCACCTATATTTTGCTGCTGTTAGATTAGAGATCCTTTATTCGTTCCACAGTGGGGAAATTTTAGTGTTGCATTTCCAGTTACAGAAAAGTAGGAATGAGAAGCACACAGCACACGATGAATGAACTCCAGACTAAATAAAATAAAAATAAAGAATCTGTAACTCAAGTATAACAAGAATAATATATATTTCTTTAGCATAATGAGTACAACAACTCTGATTTTAGCATAATAAAGAAGTCAAAAATCTCTACCTTTGGCATAATAAGAAGCAAGTATAAAGAACTAGCTCTGATAACTTTGGATTTGTCTTGTCACCTAACCCTAACCCCTAACTTTTTGTCCCTCTGTCTCCCCAGGTGAACGAGATCTACCACGACCGGTCTCTGGGAGCCAAGATAAACGTAGTCCTGGTCCGGATCATCATGTTGGGCTACGGCAAGGTAAGAGCTGTTCTTGGAAAGTGGATGTTCCTTTCTCAACAGCAGCAACAGCAGCACTCTGGCGATCCTTCTCTCTACAGTAAGCACAGGCAAGCGTCACACACATAAACAAACACAGCCAAAACACAAGCGTGCGCTCATCAACACGCACTGATGCCCTCGGCCTGTTATTCCAGTGGACTGAGCAAAAGAGGAACTAAAAGCATGCGGCGTCTCTGGGGGATTTTTTTCAAGTCGCACGCCTTCACAGTTCAGCACCAAAGAGAGCACACACAGAAAACTCCTGTCCGTTATGCAATCTGCCCGCTTCCTCTTCCCAGTCGGCTGCAGCAGTGAATCATGGGAAGTCCGGCGGAGACAAGCAATCGATGACAGCCCTCCCCCCCATTCATAAACATAGAGGGGGTCGCATCCATTCTTCTGCTTTACTGTAACTCGATCTTTCGGAGCGGATGGAAGTGATGAGGGTAGAACTATGGAAAACCTCCATAGGAAGAACGTTTTCTAACAACATAAGGTCATTGTACAAATGGTAGCAGTCCAACGAGGTTCATTTGGTCTGCAGATAGATTCTACCAGTTTATTATTTTGATAATGACCAAAGTGGTTTTTCGTACCTGACACTTCCTCTTTCTCGTCAGCTGTTTTACACAGTTGTTGGCGCCATCTGCAGTCCGAATACTTCAGGACAGAAAGATCGAAAGCTATAGAAGTGCAGAAGCTTGGACAAGGGGGCTGTTTTACTCTCAATACCCAGAAAGGGCTGACAACTTAAAGACCTTATGACGGGTTTGATTTATTTAGAAATACAGTTTTAATACCATTTTATATTAGAAGAGAACTACTAAAGGTTTCAAAATCAGTTGTTTTTTTTGTCTGATCCCCCCAAATCAAAATAACCCCATAGCAACGCCCTTAGAAACGAAAAAACTTCACAGCCCTTGGTGACGTCAGAACGGGTACGTTTCAACGCTGTAAGTTGTTTACAATTTGGTATTCGTTCTTTTTTCGCGGATATTCAAGATGACAAGGCCGTGTACAGCGAGTGTGAGATAAGTACTAGAATGTGTCAATTCGTTGTCACTAAGATAGTCCAGTGGTTGTGTCGATGGACTGCCAATCCAGATGCTGGGGTTCAAATCCCACCTCGGACAGTTTTTCACACTCAAAACGGCAATTTATGTGTAGTGAGCAATTGTCACCTGTAGAGGGCAGTATTGTGTTGGGCATCAGTGGAGAGAAGAGAGAAAAGGCAGTCCTGTGGCATAGATCCATGGTTTTCAATGCATGGGCGTAACCCGCTATGACGTCACACACAGGTTAGAGCATAGACAACTTAAATTCATGAAAAACACGTTCTTTTTATAAAATATAGGATTTTTTTTGCCGGAATCTCTTTCAAATTGACATTGTCATGCTATTTTGATATCCACTATTTTTTTTTTTAAAACCCGTCATAAGGTCTTTAATGTGAGCTCAACAATAGAGGGTATCGCAGACCTCCTTGCCAATACAGGAGGGTCTAACATACAGTAGTATAAGGACAGTGGTGACGATCCAGGACACTCAACATTCAACAACATGTATGGACATTGACCATCTGCCCCTTATGGACCAATACCAATGTGTTGGGTTTTTTAACATCGGATTTCTTGTGTTTGAACTCTTTGATCTGTGTTGGCGAACTCAACGGTTTTGTAAAGTCATCTGGGATAACTACAGTTGTTATTTAGGGCTACACAAGAATGCAATGAATTGAACTGAATTAATCAGGCCTGAAAACTAAGGCCCGACCCCACAAATTTTTGCTCAACTAGAACCCAAACCCGACAAATACTTTTTTAAAGTCCAAACCCGACTGTATGCCTCGAACGCACCAGTGAGTCTTGGCCTCTGCATCAGTGGAGTGCTGCTCACTGGGACCTTGGGGGAGGAGCTACTGATGCTGTGGCCCCTGTCTCCCAGTTGAGAGGAGCGAGCGATTTGATCACAGACCAAAAATGTTCTTGATGAACCAAAAAAAGAAGCTCTCCTGGGGGAAAGTAATCAAAATTGTTCGTATATGTTTAATAGTGCAGCCAATGTATGTATTTTTTTATTGTGGTAGAGTTGGGCTGTTGTCAGAGCAGACTTCATAGACTTATTATTTGGACTCCAAGTTTTAGTAGCTATAGGACACTCATTTAATATCAAAATAAATTGGTAAATGAGTCCTGACATGGAAGCGATAAGGTACGCTAACACGAGCTATTGTTTGCCGCCTCAGAGTTAATTTGTGTTATTTGCCTTTAGCTTTGATCATAATAAGTCAAAAGTGTGTTTAAACCTTGCCATTGAATCATGCGGTGTTCAGCTAAAACACTACTGCCTTTGTTTGCAGCTTATAACCAAGTGATGCACATGTATGCACCAAATGTATTTAACTATTTTGGTTTATGAGCAGGTGCGATCAATAGTTAATAGTTCAATAATAGCTTAATAGTACTGCAAATATAACTCTTAATATAACATAATAAGTTGATTTTCTTATGAAAATGAATGGTAAAATATTTCTGTTTCTTTTGGAGTTCAGAGATTTTTGATGCAATGGAAACAATATGGCAATAGATGGTTGAAAATACAGTCTCTCATGTTGAGGCCTCATGGTGCAGTGACGGACAGGGCAGTGACGGACAGGGCTGTTCCACTAAAGAGGCCTTGTCGTTTGGGTTAGATATCATTGAAAAGTAGAACCAGAGCTGCTTTCTCCTCATCTCTCTCATCCTCTGTGTCCACGGTCGCGCCTGAGCATCGATACACACTCACTCCCACATTGGCCATTCCGGACCAGCCCCGCCGCCGCTCCAGCCAAAGCTCGCGGCTGTCCATCATCCCCAATTACCGTGGCAACAGAGCTGCACCCAGACAGCCTGCCGATTGGCTGGGTGACCCTGAATGCAGACCCACACAGGCAAATGCACACTTAAGACACACGTACAAGCAAGATCATGAAAAATTAAACCGGCAAAAAGCACCTGATGAACGAGATTAAGTACACATATGTAAAGAGCTGGGGGACTTTAGCGATGCATTCACACTCAGGCCATATGTCTCTGCTGCACCAAACTACGCACACACTTTTCTGCTCTGCTCTACTCTGCTATGCATGCATGCAAAGAGCAGGAAAGGAGCGGAGTGTGAAAACTAAGGGTCATATTTATCAATGCAGGTGCTAAACCAAACTCAATGTGTGTGTGCAATTCCTCAGGTTTAGTTCTGTAGGATCTGTGCTTCATAAATCACTTTGCTCCAAGGCTAAAAGGCTCTACTCAATTGTATACATGGTCTTGATAAAAAAAGTGAAAAAGAGTGATCTTGAAAATCTGTAGATTAAGGGCGTCACAATTTCAATCATCAGTGGGTGATCAGCTATTGTGAGAAAACTTTGCTGGGTTCGTCTTGTGTTTATTATTATTATTATTATTGTTAGATTCCATGTGTTTGAGCTGTTTGACTCTCTGATCTGTTGTTTGAGAAGCAACATCTTTGTAAAGTTCTCCGAGACGACTGCTGTTGTTTTTCAGGGCTTTTCCAAATTACATTGAAATGAATTAGAATAAGATACAAATAAATAAAAAAAAATAACGTCTGTTTACTTCTATGTTTTAACTTACAATGTGAAAGTACTATGTGCATATAAAGTGAGATAAATCAAGCCTTTCTTTAAAAATCCCAATTAAAAGTGTAAGCCACAATCATCAACATTATGTCAAGGCTTGGCATATGTCACTGTGCGTCTAATATGCACTAGTTTTCTCCTTTTAAAGTTGAAATACAGAAATAGATTCACTTTTGAACCTGTGTAGTGCAAGCTGAGAAACGCCAAACATTATAAAGGATTCTTATCATCTTAACGGGTATAAAATTGTATGAACAAGTTCAGGCACAGTGAGGGAAAAGACTGTGGGTCGCTAAGTGTTTAAATACATGTTTTATAATTGGGCATAGCTCGTTTTTCATATGAATTAATGTTTGGTGGAATAGTAAACGTGAATCCTTGTTGTTGTATACATCAGCAGTTTGTGGAGGGTACACACTGTGAGACTGCCCCCTATAGGGAAGAGAGCGGCACTGTCACCTGGGTGGAGAGGCTCTGTGGGTGTGTTGTGTGCACACAGATTGCCTCAGTTTCATTATTGGTGTTTGTGTGTGTCTTATGCAGTCCATGAGTCTGATTGAACTGGGAAACCCGTCTCAAAGCCTGGAGAATGTGTGTCGATGGGCTTTTCTGCAGCAGAAGCAAGACACGGGCGACGCAGAGTACCACGACCACGCCATATTCCTCACACGGCAGGAGTTTGGGCCCACCGGCATGCAAGGTAGGCAGCTTTAGCCTCTCATCATCTTTATGTATGATTTTAGTTTTTTGTGCTTTTTTGGTGCAGTCCAATCAAAAAATTTAAAGTTAAAACACAAATGTTCTTGTGTTTGAACAGTTTGATTCTCTGATCTGTCTTGGCAAATTCAACGGTTTTCTTAAGTCCGAGATGACTACTTTTGTGATTTAGGGCTATACAAGAATAGATTGAATTTAAAATAGGTTCTGCTGACAGGTCTGACTCTTTTTTTAGATAAGATAAGGTTATAGATTTTCATCCCACAGCGAGGACAGTGTTTTTCAGTGTTGCAATATGTAGTCCAAGAACTGTAGGAAGAAGCAGACATAAACTAGAAAACCATAATGTAATGGAACATTTACACTTTACAGACATGTTACTTAGTGTGCCTTGTCCCTGTTCAACTAATCAATACATTGATTTAAAAAGAAATGTTAAAATATAGGTGACTCTAGAAAAATTTGAATACATTTCAAAAAGATTTTTATTTATATTATTTTATAATAATAATATTATTTATATTATGAAATGTGAAACCAAAATATGTGGTGTGGAAGGAGCAGAGTCAGAGGCGGAGAGTCAAACTGAGGTGATAATTGCAGCCGATAATTTAATGCCATTAAAGGTCAGTATTAAACATACAGCGAAGCAGTGAGAGACTTTTATTTATTTATTTTGTTCCCTTTTTTCATGGTAATGCAACAAAATTTAACAACAAAACATCAATACATTCAACGAAAGGAATGTATTACTCATTGCTTCCTAACAACAAAACCAACTAAAACAGGAAATTCCCCTGGGTATAAACAGTCCTCCCATGGGTGAATTATGTGAACCAAATTCAATAAACTTTGTCTTTTTTTGTTTTAATGTTGTTTTAATGGCTTACAGTCCATTTTCAAAAAGTTACAATTTACTTTTTGAAAATATTTGTATTCATCTTGCATATCAACAAGACGAAAGACAACCATGTAGACGTTTTTTTGTCCTCTCTTGTCCACGACATAATGTCTAGACTGGAGTAAAACATGCAAAACACATAGGATTTTTATAAGATCCCAAAAAACAAGTGCACTGTCTCCGTTGGTGCTGTGATCGTGGTTTGGCAGAGCAGTAGAGTGCAGGCTAACAGGCAGGCCCAGGGGAGAGGCCTCTGAAGGCAGTGGCCGGCCTCTTCACAAGCCCTTCAGCTGCCCTTGGGCTCAGCCTTCAGCAGCGGTGAATCAATAGACGTAGCGGGGCCGGCCACAGCGCCACAATTAAGGCCAGCGCGGGACACAGACGAGCACACGAGGGGACCGGGAGATTGGCATATGGGAGGAGGGGGGGAGGGGGGAGGGTGCTCAGGGTCAGATGTAAATACAGCAGGACTCACACATTTGTAACGCTGTGTTTTATAAATGAGCGTGTGGGAAGAGGCAGCCCGTCTGACATCGTTTGTTCCGGGGCCAATTAAAGGGAATCGATATTGGCCTCTGTGATGGACATGAGTGACACTGCAGTATGAGAGCACAGGGAGTGACTGCGACCGTCTCCTTAAATGTATGGCTCTGATTAAAAAGAAACAAAAAAAAAACACTGGTATTTATGATTATTATATGATTTTGACTTTTCTTGCCCAGTCGCATGACATCACTACTCGGGCTGTAACAATTGAATCTGTTGTTGTCACCTCTGTTATTTAAATAGTTGAATGTAATTTAGTAATGTATTCATAGTTATTTTAATCTTTCATAGACATAAAAGGAGGTTTTATGACTCAGGTAATCCTATAATGACTGCAGAATGAAATGCCATGTCTGTCTGACCAAACAAAAGTAATCTCTATGAAGATGTTCTCCAGAGGCAATGCTGGAGCTTTGTTTTGTTTAAATGCTTAAGATAAATCCCATATTCACTGAACCTTAGGATCTAAACATTCTATTATCAAAATAATCAGTAAACATAGGCCTAATCACTGAGTTCTGGATCTATGGCCTGTCCGTCTGTGCGAGCGGATCTCTCTCTCAATGTGGGCCTACTGAGGTTTCTCACTTTTTCCCACTGACTTGTTCACTACAGGCTCATCCATGGCAAACAAGTAAAACATGTGTACTCTTCTGTGTTATGTCTAATTAACGAATGTTTATAAGATGTAGAATGAATGTAAAGGATTTGCTCCATCCCTTTTCTTCCGCTCTATCTAATGCCAGGTCGCAGGGTCAGCAGGCTAATACTATATTCCAAAATACATATGGGAATAAGCAATGTGTTGTGTGTAACATGAACAAGACCAGGCAAGCTTATTTGTATAGCACCGTTCATACACAAGGCAACTTAGAATGCTTAGCAAAACAAGACATAACCATGTAATCACTGTCATGACAAACTTTCTGACAATGTTACATGTTTGTTAAAGCCACTTTTATACCCTTGTCTATACTATTATCAACAACAAGAAAAATCAATTTATGGTATATTTGTTCTTATTTTTTTACATCACTCCTAATGAAAATCCTCTCGCATATTATTTTCTGTTTCCCAGGTTACGCACCCGTCACTGGTATGTGCCACCCAGTCCGCAGCTGCACTTTGAACCATGAGGACGGGTTCTCCTCGGCCTTTGTGGTGGCACACGAGACTGGACATGTGTAAGCTCCCTTAAAACACAGCAACAACCATTTATTCTGTTCAATTGAAACGACCGCTTTGAAAATGATCGTACGACAATACCTCCGCTGATTCCTTGTCGTTGTTGCCTTCTCTGTTTCGGCGCCGGTGCAGACTGGGGATGGAGCACGACGGCCAGGGGAACCGCTGTGGGGACGAGGTGCACTTGGGCAGCATCATGGCGCCGCTGGTGCAAGCCGCCTTCCACCGCTTCCACTGGTCCAGATGTAGCATGCAGGAGCTGGGCCGATACATACAGTGAGTCCCCCACAGACAGACTGGGCGAAGAAGCACATTACACATACAAATACACATTATTGATTTCAAATGTTCCCTTTTTAATTCAAATAACAAATCATCTGCATTAAGTTAACTATAAATAAATCAATATTTCTCTGTACAGTAGTGGATCGTTCAGAAATATATTGTATGGAATTACCACAAGGAGTCCCAGAGCAGTCATTGACGGCTTTTTGTTTTAAAAGTGTTATTACTCAGGTTTATTTTTACCTTTTACCAGGAGTGTGAATGATTGCAGATGGTTGGAGAGGCCACTGTTTGGCTGCCACACTTCTGTCAGTGTGCCCCAGGGCAACTGAAGCTACAGTAGTAATTTAACTTTTTCGTAGTTTTCCATTTTCCTATGCCTCAAATAAAACTTGTGTATAACCAGTTCTCCAGCTCTACACTTTTCTTTAACAACCTGATTCCTCAAGATGTTTAAAATGTCATGTCTGTTACTTTACAATCCTGATGAAGAGTGAATTTGCTTTTGTTTTCATGACTTCTGGATCTGGAAGGTTTTACACCTGTTAACACTTTTTGAGTCAAAAGTTGTTGTGTTCTTCTCAGTTCCTACGACTGTCTCCGTGACGACCCTTTCGACCACAACTGGCCATCTCTGCCTCAACTTCCTGGTTTGCACTACTCCATGAATGAACAGTGTCGCTTCGACTTTGGCGTGGGGTACGCACTGTGCACCGCGGTAAGACATCTCCTGTTCCTTGTATGATACAGCAGGGGTTCCCAAACTTTTCAGGCCAAGACCCCAAAATAACCACCAAACAGCGAACCTCACTGAAACAAAACGTTGAAAGCAGCTATAATTTGAAAAGATGCTGCGATTGTGCTAATGGATCTAATAACACCTGAAATACAATGTTTGCTTTTACATTAGATAGATATAATGTGGTAATAAGTGTGTCAATAAAGTGGTAAATCATCTGACAACCCTGACCCCCACTTTGGGAACCACTGTTTGCAGTACTAGAAGGTAGCTGTGCTTAACAGTAGTACTGCTCCACAATGCACTCACTCCAGAGCAAATTCACTCACTGTAAAAGCAAAGAAATGTGTTAACAGAAGAGGAAAGCTTAACTCAGCTATTCACATTTCTGTGATGTCTTCTGCTTCTCTCTCACGGCCTCTGGTGGGATGTACATCTGTTTAAAAGCAGGTAATTTGGCTTTGATAGTTCTCATTGACACTGTTTATGAGGCTACGTTTAAGTTCCATCCACAGTGCCTTCACATGATTCTATCATGTTTTGTTTAAGTGTTTCAGAGTAGTAGTGAGTGTAGTTTCTCCTGTGTCTGATTGTGGAGCCACTGTGGCCCTGTGCTGTTGATAAAGGGCTTTTTCTGCCCTTTGCTCACGTTGCTAGTTATCCTTCATTCTCTTGTCAAACCCATTTCCTTCAGCTACAAAAGGCCGGCCAATCAGGACCACAGGTAAGGTGACCACACCTCCCAACATGTGTTTCTGTGTTTGTGTTTGACTTCTTTTGGTGCAGTATCTATCAGTATGGTCATTTCATATTGTGGACATCAGGCTGTAGGATTCGCTTTCACATATATTATCTAATAAATGTTTTCAGTTTGGGACAATATTTGTCTATTGTTGCCACTATAACTCTTTTGAAAATATCAAATTGACTCTTTGCATAACATAGGTTCATGCGTCGATGTTTGACTGTAGGATCCTTCAGTCTGATGGCATCTGTACCTGCACCTACCACAGTCAAGTCATTTATTGTAACTCTGATTTCAAAAAGGTCCTCCGGACCTTCACGGGTAGAGCTGACTTTAGAAGGACTCGAGACCATCAGAAACTAGACAATTAATATTTTCCCGGTGTCCAGGGGCATTGTAGAAGCCACACAGGCCTCACCCTCTGGCTCTCTGAAGGCCCTTACCCTGTCACCAGCCCCCTGACCTGATGTTCTGAAGTGTGTTGTTGTGGAAGTGATCCCTGTCTGAGTTTGCATGAATGGTCTGTGTTTGTGGAGCGTAGTGTACAGTGGATCAGTGAAGGGGCGGTGACTTCTAACATGGTTTCCTTATTATTGTGAAATCCCTATTTTCATCAATTTTCATTTTCAATTTTCAGTGTTGTCATTCCGGCTGTTTAAGTAATCATTCAGGAGGACCGAACAGTGTTTCTGAAAGTCTCTTGTCTGTGCTCCTCAGTATCGCACCTTTGACCCATGTAAGCAGCTGTGGTGCAGCCACCCGGACAATCCCTTCTTCTGCAAGACCAAGAAAGGACCACCCATCGACGGCACCATGTGTGGAAACGGCAAGGTACTCACAGACCACAAGCCTTTACATGACCGGGGTGGGGACTGCTCTCGTTAAACACACAGTAGCTTTAGTTGTTTACAAATGTTCTCGATAAAGGCCTGGGTGGTGCAGTAACAGTGAATCATGGGTAATCATTTGAACAGTAATATTGAGGCTGATATACATCGTTTTGTTGTCAGCACTGTTTTAAAGGGCACTGCATCTGGCTGACCCCCGACATCATCAAACAAGACGGAAACTGGGGTTCGTGGACTGAGTTTGGCCAGTGCTCCCGGACCTGTGGAGGAGGGGTACAGTTCCGCACCCGTGACTGTGACAATCCAAGGTACTAGGTCCTAGGTCTCTTGGAATTATAAATGATACAATACAAAATATATGGAATTTTACCAAAGTATACTAGTGAAAATGTATTGGGTAAAATACATTAGATTTATTTATCATGTTAAAACCTACTTGAATAGTAATCACATCTTTATATGAACCGCACCAGCTACATTTTAATATAAGTCGCGGATTTTCATGTGTAAAAGGTGTTTTTTTTGGACACTCAAAGACGCTTTACATGTCATTATTCATTCACTCCATACACAGTGGTGATAAACTACTACTGTAGCCACAGCTGCCCTGGGGCACACTGACAGAAGCGAGGCAACCAGTATGTGCCATCAGGCCCTCCAACCACCACCAACCATGTGTCTTGCCAAGGACACAACAACAGCAGACAGTCGGAGTTCAAAGGCCAATGCTCTACCAACTGAGCTACTGCCTCCCTTTAATGAAAATGATTTGTAAAAAGTACACAATCATTCAGAAACATGTGACGTAAGATCTACATGTTAATCATTTTAACGGAGAAAAGAAACTACTAATTTATGAAAATGCATACATTGGCTGCATTGCTCATTAGGCCGCAAATAACCACCAATTACGGTACATACCTGGATCTGCATAATCCCAACGTACGACTTGTATATTGAGTCATCTGTTTCACTGTACCTTAGTTCATTGTGTTTTTATACGAAACAGAAAGATCCTTATTGTACATATTTATTTTCTGAAGACGCCTCAGTATCAGATGATTTAAACCATGTCTTGCCTGTAGGAAAACGTATATGCTAACTGAAGTCGTCCCTCATAAAAGTTAACCTCACATAATCAGTACCACAAAATGTAAAGGGACCAAATCCAAGGTTTCAGAAAATGTACAACACAATTTTACCAAACAAAATAAGACACATATGTACATTCACAAGTATACAGTAATAAAATCCTCTGTGAAGCGTGGGTGTAGTCAAAAGCATTATTAGAACAAGTATCTGTATCAACATTTTGTCTGGTAATTTTGACGTGAAAGACCAACATTTTGTGTCAATTGGAAAGGTTCATATGGTATGAATACTTTTACTCTTCTGGAAATGGCATTTGTGCTGTTTTCAAAGTCAAGTTATGAAAGTTAAAATAATGTGAATAAACACAATGTACCGCCTTGTGAGCTTCTGTTTTTATTTTTATGCTAATTCCAGACCAGCCAACGGAGGGCGCCCTTGTGTGGGTGCCACGGACCAGTTCCAGATGTGCAATAGCGAGGAGTGCGACGACATCTACAGCGACCCGCGAGAGGAGCAGTGCCGCGCCTCGGACCCGCGCCATGATCTCCATAGCAACATACACCAATGGCTGCCTTATGTACACCCAGACCGTAAGAAAACACCTACACGTGGAGTTTGTGCAAAAGCTGAAAGAGACAAAATAAAGATCTCTTTCGGAAGTTGTTAATTCAAATTACAGCCCAAAAGTAAACATGTGGTTTGGTTTTATAGCGTTACATATAAATAGCCAGAGGACTGTTATAGTCGTTGACATCTGGTTGTTCTGCCTTGAGGCTGGAAAACGCCCTCTTACAAACACATTACACAGGTCTTTGAACTTGTGTCTTGTGTATCTGACCTGCTCTGTCGATTCAAGTGTGTAATCCCATGTCACACTACAACTGTGTGCTAAATTGTTTACACTCTGATCATGTCAGAGTGTGATTGCTGCGGCGTGTGTGGTTCATGCAGCAATGTGTTCGAGTGCAAGACAGTTCCAGCTCTGAGTGTGAAATTGTGCGATTTGTTTAGAGACGGGTGGCAGCATTGTGTCTCTATTCCAGTTCCACTGTGTCAACACAAAACCAGTCTTGTCTTTCTGTGACCCAGTGAGGGGCTTGTTAGTCTGTCTTCCACATTAGAGCTCTTTGCTCCCGCTGCACACAGTGGAACTGCGGCTGTGGTCTGGATCAGGTCATATCCGCTCTGCTACTGCTGCTACGGTCCAGCCGCTATAATACAGGACCAGGTGTCCATGTGGTAATAGGGAGGTACAGATACCCTAACCAGACCTGGAGATCCTACAGCACTGACCTCAACATCCCAAAGCACTGACCTAAAGCAGTGTTCCCCAACATTTTTGAGCCATGCACACCTTTGTCATTGTAAAGAATCACATTGCACACCACCAGCTGAATTTAACACACAATTGAAAATGTACAGCCTTTATTAACAAAACAATTATATAGCACAAAAATTCTTTGTAATCATCTCACAAGATTTGACCAAGCAGGTGATAATGGATAATTTCCCAGGCACACTAATAAACATCTCAAGGCAAACCAACATGCCAGGACACACTGGTTGACCCAAAGATCCAAATGCAGCCCTAGATATGTCACATTGACAAATCCAGGTGGGACCATAATTACCACAAATCTATAACCAACACCTTTTTCACAAAGGCCCCATTAGAAATCCTCGTTTTATTCCTTGTTTTGTCATTTGAGAATCATAACGAGACCTTTTATTGCCACATGTTACTTTACCAGTGAGATTAGCTCGACGCCAACCCGGATCACGGACTTTCTGATTGGTCAAACTGTGGAGGGCGGGACTTCGAAATGAAAAAAGGTTACAGAAGGATTCAAAAAGAGCATGGTTTATGAACGCCTTTTGACAGATTAGGGCCATTTAGAGATGACTTGACGTGAAATTCTTACTTATTGCTACTTTAAGGATTAAAGTCACTGCATTGAGTAACAGTTTATATGTTTGTATTCTGTAGCTAACAAACGCTGCCACTTATATTGCCAATCAAAGGGGACTCGTGAGGTGACCTCCATGTACAGGATGGTGCTGGACGGGACTCGCTGCTCTTACAAAGACCCTCACAGTGTGTGTGTGAAGGGGGAGTGTGAGGTCAGTCACCATTACATTCATTTATTATCACTTTTTAACTGATATTGTTACAAGATGTAGATTAGTACAAAGTGAACACATAGCTACACTCTCTTAAATTATTATTATTAAATTATCTGTTGCGGCTCTAGAAACAGGATTAAGTTTATCTTTAAATTTGGGTTACCTAACTTTGTAATTACAAAATAATAGGTGACATTTGTCCCAACAGAATGAGTCTTGTAAAAGTAAGAAACAGACCACAACATGCTGCTTTATCTTGCAATCTTTTGCATACTTTGAGCCTTGCTAGTCACTATGTTGGGCTGAGTGAGGGTGGTCCTCTCTTTTTTCAAAGGCACAATACAATACCTGCATGTGCAAACTCGTGAACCAAACTGTTTTAGGAGTGAGGAACTAGTTAGATTGAATTGAGTCACATAGATTCAGTTTTTTGTGGTTTGAAAGTTAGGTCCCCCAGCTTTAAGTAACATGGCAAAACAAAAAAGTTTCAATAACAAGCACAAGATCATTAGAGTTTTAAGAAAGCACTGTCTTTGAGGATTGCTTTCATAGCAATAATTGTTTTGTGTATTTTTTGTTTAGTTTTTTTCTGGTGCACCCTGTGGTGCTTTTGCACATTTTAATGCAAATAGCAAATACACTGAATCTGATCAAATGTTGTCATGAAATAAAAGATCAAACTGGACTAATTTTGTTAATGCTACAGAATGCTGTATATCAAAGTTATTGACGCTCATCTGTGATTGGACAGAAAATGGGCTGTGATGGCATGATTGGATCATCGAAACAGGAGGACAAGTGTGGAGTGTGTGGAGGGGACAGCTCCAGCTGCAAAACGTTCAAAGACACCATCATCCGCACCACCAAGAAGCAGGGTACGTAGTACCTCCAGCTCTAGACAGGCTGTCTGCATACAAGTGACATGGAAGGACAGTGTTCAGGCTGACAGCAGAGAGAATGTTTAGCTCAATGCTGCCCTCTATAGGAGTTTGTAGACCATCCAACCGTTTCCCGACAGTTTTAATACATGGTGTGCATTGCCAATAGATTACATCAAGTTTGTGGTTGGAAAATACTACATTTTTAAAACCCAAGTCCCTGCAGCTTGCTGTGAAGAGTCTATTGGGATTTCAGTCAAGAAGCAGGACTGTTGTGTAACCATGACTGAGAAGGTTTTCCTGGAAAGGTTTTGACTGTGATTCATTGTTTTAATGATGTCATAAAAATCAATTTGTAATTCGTTTAGGTTTCCTCAAAGTCCTTGAGGTCCCACAGGGAGCAAGGCACTTGCTTATTCAGGAGCTTAAAGCAGCTCCCCACTCTTTAGGTAAGTTGTAAGACTGTAAACTTAATCTGCTTTTGATCCTGTTTTATGTCCAGTATTAACACAAGTTTATGTCATCAGCTGTGAAAAATGAGGCATCTGGACTGTTCTTTTTGAATGGAGAGGGCGATATCCCTGAAACCCGCTCACTCATTGAGAAGGGTGTTGAGTGGGAGTATGAGAACGACAATGGCAAGGAGACCCTTCAATCTACCGGTCCACTCACACACGGAGTTCTCATCATGGTAATGAGACAAGAATGAAAAACGTCTCTCTGAGTGAAGAGAGCATGAATAATGTCTTAGCTGTATGTGGCCAATCATGTGTGTGTGTGTGTAATGTGTGTTCTCCAGGTAAAGCTGCAGGGAGATGAGGACGTGCACCTGTCCTATAAGTACATGATGAACATGGACAGCAACAGTGCCCTTCAGAACAACATGCTGGTGGAAGACAGCGCTTATGAGTGGGCCCCCAAGAAATGGTCTTACTGCTCCAAGCTCTGTGGTGGAGGTACTGGCACATACAAAACACCACTGTGATTGCTGGACTATTAGCCGCCATTGTTTTCAATGTCTTAAAACTCTGAAGCCTACAAAGCAATTTTGCTAATGTATGTTTTATTTTTATTTGAAAATCTATTTTAATTTATTTTTGTGTAGCCCTAAATCACAACAGTAGTTACCTCAGAGCACTCATCAAAAAGGTTTAAATCGCCAACACAGATCAGAGAATCAAACAGTTCAAACCCAAAAAAATATAGAACACATCGGTCCATGGGGAAGTTGATAAATATCCATAAATTATTATAATGCAGACAGATAAAGTAGGAAAAGATTTATACTATTTGGGCAGCACTGTGGTGCTCGTACCTCACAGTAAGCAGGTCCTGGGTTTGATTCTACCTCCAGCCCTTTCTTTGTGGAGTTTGCGTGTTCTCCCCATGTGTGCTCTGGTTTTCTCAAGGTGCTCCAGTTTCCCTTACAACTAAACAGGTACAGTACCTTGCGAAAGTATTCTTGAACCTTTCAACATTTCGGCACATTTCAGGCTTCAAACATAAAGATATAAAAATTTAATTTTTTGTCATGAATCAACAACAAGTGGGACACCATCATGAAGTGGAACGAAATTTATTGGATCATTTTAACTTTTTTTTAAAAACTGAAAAGTGGGGCGTGCAATATTATTCGGCCCCTTTACTTTCAGTGCAGCAAACTCAGTCCAGAAGTTCAGTGAGGATCTTTGAATGATTCAATGTTGTCCTAAATGACTGATGATGATAAATAGAATGCACCTGTGTGTAATCAAGTCTCCGTATAAATGCACCTGCTCTTTGATAGTCTCAGGGTTCTGTTTAAAGCGCAGAGAACCATGAAGACAAAGGAACACACCAGGCAGGTCCGAGATACTGTTGTGGAGAAGTTTAAAGCCGGATTTGGATACAAAAAGATTTCCCAAGCTTTAAACATCTCAAGGAGCACTCCAACCTCACTGAGCTCGAGCTGTTTTGCAAGGAAGAATGGGCAAGAATTCCAGTCTCTCGATGTGCAAAACTGATAGAGACATACCCCAAGCAACTTGCAGCTGTAATTGCAGCAAAAGGTGGCGCTACAAAGTATTAGCGCAAGGGGGCCGAATAATATTGCACGCCCCACTCTTCAGTTTTTTATTTGTAAAAAAAGTTTAAATTATCCAATAAATTTCGTTCCACTTCACAATTGTGTCCCACTTGTAGTTGATTCTTGACAAAAAAAAATATTTTTTATATCTTTATGTTTGAAGCCTGAAATGTGGCGAAATGTTGAAAGGTTCAAGGGGGCTGAATACTTTCACAAGGCACTGTACAATAAGTCTGGCATGCGCCTCCTGTATGTTGACCCTGCTCCCATGTGTGGAGTGAGAGACAAATACCTACTACAACTGTAAAGCGCTAAATAAATAAATATTACTTACTTATTTACTTATTTACTTACTTACTTACTTACTTAGTGCTTATACACAGCTCTATCAGCTTTTTATCTCCAAAGCTAATGACGTAGCACTCATTCCTGCTTCCTGGTGTTTAACACGAGAGCCGCGTTGGGAAACACACAGTCAACCGTGCAATATAACGCCTCGTCATTAAATCAATGTTTTGTCCATGTGAATTTCTTTTTGTGTACACCCTTTTCCAACGAACACACACAAACACACATATATGTACTGCTAACTACTTGCATATCCCAGACCTTGTTTGTGTAAGTTTGTCAGTTCTATATTCATTCAAGTGCAGAAAAATTAATTAAACACCAAACATTATTGTAGATTTAAACCTGTTTATTTCTTTGCTTGTGCTACCGTTAAAAATGTTGTCTACCGGCTTGTTATTTTGCTCCACCAGTTGTCGGTTAAGACATGAAAAAGTGCGGCTTACTATTTCGGCTTGCTTGTGCGGTTTATGTAGCCAAGGCTGAAGTGGATTTCTTTTATTGCTCTGGTTGACAGGAAAAAAGTATCAGCGGTATGGGTGTCGGCGGATCGCTGACAGCAAAATGGTCCACAAAAGCTTCTGCAACAAGTCCAACAGGAAACCAATAGGAGATGTCCGTGACTGCAACCCTAAGCCCTGCCCACCACCGATGTGAGCTCCTATAACAACTGCTTTTAAAGTGACGTTATTTTCATGTTTGAGCCTAATATTGTGTTTGCTGTTATAGATGGGTGACAGGAGAGTGGCAGAACTGCAGTAAGCCATGTGGGAAAACAGGTCTGCAGGTGCGCTCCGTCAGCTGTATCCAGCCGTCAGAAGACAACACCACCCGCTCCATCCACAACAAGCACTGTAACGACAACCGACCCGAGTCACGGCAGGCCTGCAACCGCCACCCATGCCCCACCCAGTGGAGAGTCGGGCCGTGGACACAGGTCAGGACACATGGAAGCGCCCTACATACAGTATTTGTTTTCCACCTTTTTTAGTTTTTGTTTTGAGATCTATCTATGCTAATGGTATGCTGGTACAAACATGTAACTCTGCCCTTCCTCCCGTAGTATGATGTCATTATACCACTATGACACACTCAGAGCAGTTTCCTGCCTTTTTTAACTAAAGTGTGGCCAATGAACACCACTCTCTGATGGTAGCATAGGGACAGCATTCTTCACCCTTGATACTTGTTTCGCCACATATTTTCTTGTGAAATTTGAGATTTCAAAGCATTACATGAAAAAGTAAATAGGTATCATATATTTTTGAATAGACCTAAATAATGTTTAATATTTATTCTTTAATGACATATATCTGTATGTGTTTCAGTGCTCAGTGACATGTGGGAATGGGACGCAGCAGAGGCAGGCTCTGTGTCACCCGCGGGACAACACCATCGGCCTGTGTCTGGACAGTAAACCAGACATCATCAGAATCTGTCGCATGGACCCATGTCCCAGTAAGTGCTTACAATACAACAAAACCACCCAGATCCAAAACCACACTATTAGTATTGATATAATATTTGTGTCTTTCTACAGAGGGAACCTCAGACCTCAACAAAAACGGAAACATGCTGATCCAGTTTTCGTCCAGACACAACCTTTACCCAAAGATCTCCTCACGTAAAACCTCCCTCTATAGTAGCCAGCCCGGTCTCCACTGCAGCATGTGCGTGCTGTGGGCGCTGCCGTTGTCTGTCCTCCTGTGTCTGCCGGGCCCCCGCCTGGCCCCCTGACCCTTCTGCGCTGGTGCCGGTGGCCCCGGGCTTCTCTTTTGGTGGAGGGGATGTAGTGTCTCTCTCTGTGTGTGAGACGGCTCTAACTGGGGGAGGTCTCCTGTATGTGCTCTGTCTCTCTCTTTCTCTCTCCTCTGTGGAGCATTGTGTTGTAACCGCTGGCCAGTCGAACTCTCTAAAGATCAACTAAATATTTGACGCCTAACAAATATTTCAGTGGAAGGGCAAAACGGTTTTCTTGACACTGTGTGTGTCCGGAGCCATTGAGTTTGTGGGGCCTCCTCTGCATTTGGTGGCCATGTTTTGCGCAAGCTATCTGCGTATTGTTCTGGGTTACCACTCCTGAGATGCAGTGTGCTTGTTTCTTTTTGTAGCGCACTGCTATTGTGGGGAGAAAACAGATGTGAAAATAACCAGATAAAGGTATATAAGTATCTATATAAAAGTTTAAAAAATATGAAAGCTTTATTGTGAATGTGATCTTGTCACAATGAGGACACCTTTGCTAAAGTGCTCATCTGACATCCTGGTTCCATTGGGGCGAGAATGGCCCATGCTACATTCCATTCTCGGTGTATGGGAACTCAGTATAGGCACAGGACGAGGCACGAGTAAGTGTGAGACGAGGCAGAAGTGTGAGGTGAGGAAGGATACAAACACAGGGTAGTCTGACCCATTTCACCTCATCATCAGCCATCTCTCTTTGACTGTTATACTAAAGTTCAATAAATGCAGCTTATTTGTGCTTGCAGACTTTAAACTAATACATCTATAAGTATATTTGTATTTATATATAAATAGCTATATATAGATATATATACACCTATAAATCTAAATCTATATATGAGTAACAATAATATTAATAATGTTTTACCATGAATAAGCTGTAGCTTATTTGCCTAAAAAACCTTTGGACTGCTATTGATCGCTTTGATCCTTGACTGTTATGTGTATTTTTTTATTGATTTTTCATGAGTACAGATGAATATTTAATAAAGGATTAAAGTGTTTCCAGGGTTAAAGGAGATAGAAATTATTATGCAGGACTTGGTCAGTTGCCTCTCCATTCTCTCAGATGGATCAGTGGTTTACTGTCGCTTCTTGTTTATTTTTGTACGTTTATTTCCTTATTTCTTGAAGTTCAGACCATGTTTTTGTCATGCACATTTGCCTCCATCACCTCAGTGTGCGTGCAGTACAGTAAGTGAGATTTGTGTTTCTCTACACGGGTGCAGGCCAAATGGAATGGGTGTCTTTGAGTGTGCGTCGAACTTCATCTTTGGGCTCTTTCACATTTGCGATCAGACACAGAAATACCTCATAAACTTTTCTTTGAGCGTGTCCGATGGTCTCATTTTATTTTGATGAACATTAACCACATGAACAATGCCTTATCTTGGATTGAATGTAACGGCATTTTATCTGTGAAAGAGGGGGCTTTACTCATACAAAGTTTTGCTCGGATTAGAGGCAGCTTCAACTTTACAAACACCACCAACCATGGAACCTGACGTTGGCCAATGTCCGGCTGCTGAGAAGGCCGAGGGTATAGACACTTAAAACACTTCAGACTTGTCATTGTATTGTGATCACATATTTCTGTTGTGACAATGTAGCGAGCTATCCAAGGTTCTGCTGGAGTTGGACTGTCTGAGACCAAGCCAGACCTAGCAGTGCGATACTGTATATAACATTGGTGTTGACTGTATTTAATAATGTTCATGACTGTTAACTTCTTATATAATATTCTATACTATGGGTAACTGTTTTGTGGCTTCACTGGCCTGCTGCGTGGGGCTGGCTAACGTTCGGCTAACGTTGAAGAAACATTCAGATGGACTATGTGCACTGCGTCTATATGCACTTTGATTTATCAGGGAAATTTTATTAATGTTTTGTAAATGTTTCATATGACACTTAACGTGCCATTCCAGTTTTTACATCATCATGGAAATTCTGTATTTGATTTCCACAGCAAATATCATTTATGTACTTCTTTTTTTATGGATAAACTGATTAATCACTGATTAATTTCCAAGTAATGAAGTGTTTTACCAAAGTGACTGTGAACTTGTAACTTTCGATACAGTTGAATTATTTTTCTTAAGAAAAGAAAATATCTATATATTGAGCAAGGGGCATACATCTCATTGTTTGAGTTCCTGTCATTCTCAACAGCAAAGTTGTATCAATAAAAATAATGTTTTAAAAGTGTCTGATTGCTCTTAAAGAATTTGGTCATGGCTGTTTATGGCAGTGTATGTGAATTTAACCAGAGCATTATAAAGTATAAGAATACGACTTTTGATTGATTGAATGTGTTCAAACTGGTCCACGAACGCAACACATGAATGGCACAGTTTCCTTTCTTCTGTTTCAGTTTCCTCTTCACTTTGTATCTTCTACTAATATTTCGGCTTTGTGCTCTTCATATCCATCTGACGGCTTCTTATGCATTGGCTGCTCTGGATCTATCCTCTCTAGGTGACACATGTTGCTCTCTCACACATGTAGGCCACACCCAGTCTCTGCCCTCATGCTCTCCTCCTCTCTTCACAGGTCAGCGTTGTCATGGAGACCGCTCCGTGTTCTGCCGAATAGAAACTCTGGGCCGATACTGCGCCCTGCCGGACTTCAGGCGCCTCTGCTGCAAAACGTGCGCCAATGAGACGGGCACAAATGTCAGCACTCCTGTCGCAACGCCCAGGTCTAAGCAGCCAACCACGAGTATCAGGCCCTCAACTGCATCCTCATTCCCTACCACCAATGTTCCTACATCCTCATTCCTTACCACTGAACCTCCTACATCCTCATTCCTTACCTCTGAACCTCCTACATCCTCATTCCTTACCACTGAACCTCCTACATCCTCATTCCCTACCACCAAAGTCCCTCCATCCTCATTACCTACTACCAAGGTTCCTAGAGCCTCATTCCCTACCACCAAAGCTACTACATCCTCCATCTCTACCACCAAAGGGTCTACATCCTCATTCCCTTCCACTAAAACTTCTACAACCTCATATCCTACCATCAAAGCTTCTACATTTCTATTCCCTACCACCAAAGCTTCTACATCTCCAATCCCTTCAACAACAGCTCCTACACTCTTTCCTACCAACAAAGCCTCTACGTCTCCGTTCCCTACTGCGACAGCTCCTAGATCTTTGTTACATACCACCGCCGCTCCTACATCTTTGTTCCCTAGGTCCTTAACCACTAGTTCGTCCTTCCCTAGGCTTACAACTCCAACACTATCGACTCTCTTGACGTCTCCACAATCAACCTTTTCAACCTCATCAATTGCTGTAGTTCCCACATCAGCCAAGGACATCACTAAACCTTTAACAGATCAGTCTACACCACCATCGCCGTCATCCAGTGCAATGCCCAAAACCTTTTTAACAACACGCAACCCCGAATCTACAACTCTGCCCCAGTCTTCTCCGATCACAAAACAAGACCGTTTGACAACTGTGAGACTAACAACGCAGCCAGAGAGGACGACTCCTGTACTGGCGCAAGACAATGTTACTGTAGGGAAATGGAAGCCTGAAAAAATGCAGCCGCCAAAGAAGAAAACTGTTCCGCCAAAAAATGATAAAAAGAAGTTTGTGAAGCCCAAAAGTACTCCAAAAAAAGTAGTAGCGAAAACAGAAACTGGCAAGAAAAAGATTGAAAAGGTAGTACCTAAAAAGACTAAAAAGCCAACTTCTTCTAAACCCAGTCCAAAGAAGAACACTGTAATCTCATCCAAGAAACCTGCAACACCCAAAAAGAAAGTTGTGTCTCCTCCCAGTTCTACCACAAAGAACATAACAACTACAAAAACACTTAAAACCTCAAAACAATCTCCATCAAATGCCAAAAAAGTCGCTGGACCAAAAATCAAAGTTTCAGAAGATACCAAGACAGGTCCGAAAATCAAAAGTGGGCCAAAAAACACAACAGACTCTGTGGCAAAGAAGAAGTTCACGGTTATAAAAGCTGAATATCCTGCAAAGAAGTCCGTTTCAAAACCAAACAGTAATAAATTCAAAGTCATAAAAACAAACCTTCCAAAGAAGCCTCCAAAAACAACTCCATTCTTCTCCAGCACTACCCACATGACCTCTGCCACTACCTCCCCTCCATACACAAGTGAATACTTTACTTCCACAAGTATTTACCCAACAACCATCAACCAACCTATCCTTACAACTAGCCTCCCTGATTTAACTATCAATACAACCATTATTACAAATGACTCAATGACAACACCAGAAACTCTGCTTTGGTACTATGATGACACTGTGTACACGTCAAGTCCAAGTGAAGACCTCACGTCCAGTGGCACCATGCCTTACATTGATGGGAGCCTTGCCACTAGTGGAGACATGGCAGTGACCAGTGAGACCCTTGTGAGCAGAGATTACATTACAGGAGGTATGGTTATTGAGGATATCAGAGGAGGTGTGGTCTCTGACACTACTGTGATAGATGATGGCCTCACTATAGTAATACCCACCATCACTAACGAGGACATGTACGAGTTAACATCCTCGACATGGCAGGATCTGTCAGAATACATTCCAGTAGATGTTCCCGGCACAACTATAGTTCCCACCACAGCTCCTCTGACCACCATTTCTTCAACAATAAAGTCAAATACAATAGTAATGACGAATTCAGCAAATTCCGAAAGTGAGAATAATATTATTGATATTCCTTACAATCGTGGCATTTCAACAGACAATGACATATCCCAAGACAACCTCATCTCAAAACATCGAATCAACCTACGGGAGAGGACAAAGAACAAACGAATTCAGGAGTTGCTGGAGGAAAGGAGGAACTTTCTACTTCGCATGAAGCGAGGACATGCTGAACGATAATGCTGCTTTATTCAGAGTGAGCTGTATGAACACAAAGAAGTATGACGGACCAGAGGGCTTTGGGCCTTTACCCGAACGCCCTATTCCTATACAGCAGCAGGTTTTTGTATTTACAAACAATATTAAATCAAAGCAAATAGTCTTATGAACAGTAAATGCTATGCGCACATTTTATATCACATGGGAAGGTAAAACAAACAAGTCTAGAGTATAGGTTTACCAGCACTTTAAGCTAACCCTCACAGAGCTCACGGTGTGATCCAGGATTGTTGAAGAGGCTGACGACAACACTACAGTATTTTCTTTCTTGTGATGCTCCAGCCTTTGTCGGCCAAAGGGCTTCCAAACATAGATAATAAACCCATGAATGATTGGTTTGCCATTGTGCTGTCTTCTCCCCTGCTTTGACCTCTCAGGTATCAACGCTAAATGAGGTGCTCACTTTCAGCAAACGTGGAAACAAGTTGTTATATGTTTTGTTTTGGCCAGGCTCATTGGTGTATTCAGTCATTGTACAGAAAACCGTTTTTATTTGTATATGCAGATAGGAGCTTGGATGGCCTGTAATAAGTTGTATTTTTTATATTTTCTATGCTGCAAAAGCACAGTCTTTTTTGTATATCTGTACATAAAAAGAATTTAATTTTGAGTATTTATTAAAGTTCTTGCAACTGTGGTATTTTGCAAAAGTTGTCCGTAAGTTTCATTTCATCCCATCAGTCCGTGTCTGCTGTACCGTATGTGGCCAATAGAGGGAGACATGTTATTCTCTTTTCTATCCAAAACCACTCTGTGTTGTTGCATTATATATCTTGTATAGAGATTTGATCAATTGTTAAAGAAGGCCATCTTTAAATGGTGTTAAACCCAAAGTGTGTTGGATAATTCTAGAGATGGATATAGGCAGCTATACAAATATTGATATATCCATTAAGTACATTTCACACATTACTGCAAGTGCTTAACAAAGAGTGCAAACATCACAAGACATTTCCAAAGTAGAGGCACATCTCAAATTCTAGAAAAATGAAATTCCAAACTCCAGCTTCTTCTTGAACGCGAGCTAGAAGCGAGAAGGATGAGACCCGAGGACCTGAGACTGCACAAGTCAATCAGAGGTGTATTTATAAAGCGCATTTTCTACAATTATTGAGACATTTTCATACAATGGTAATCATTAACCAAACGTTCTATGATAAGTTAAAACTAAAATTACAATAATGAAGGTGTGTTTGTGTGAATAGTTTCTAAACAAGCTTTTCTGAGCCAGATTTGTCTGTAAACATATTTATCACATGTTTATAGTTGATGGGGAATGTTGAGTATGTCCTTTGGGAGTGTGGGTGAAAGTGGATTAAATTAAATCATCTTTAGAATGTTGTTGAACTATTCGCCTCACTCTGGTTTAAAGCAGATGACTCCCATCAAACTGCACTTTCTGCTTTATATGCAATCCCCGTCATTGCCTCCATATTAGATTAGTGCTGCAATTAGGATGTTATCATCAGAAAAATGAATAATCTTGTTGGTAAATGCAACAAAACAGCGGTTAAAAAAGAAACACATCAACTGTAGATCCAAATATTGCCCTTTGTGTATCAACTGAGGTGAGTCAGTGTATGTAAATCACATTGATCATGGTTATGTCACTGGAGTTTACTTGGTGAAGAGTAAACTTCATCTAAAATATTGTTTCTCAATTCATTACAATAAGTGTCTTTTATAGTGCAGGGTACATAATTATCTTGCACATGTAATTTACATACAACACTACACCGCATCATTACTCACTCCAGCTTCTCCCACCGCTGTTCAATGACAGAGGAAAAACTGCCAACCTTCACCGTCAGCAACTGATGGGAAATGAGTGTTCGTCTGCAAGAAGAGGGAATGGAATCAGGGCCAGGTAAGGCCGGTGTCTACTGTACCTTTATTGTTATATCTGTGCAAAATAAATGTGTCCCGTTCAGTCTTTGAACTAAAGTTCATCATCAGTGTTTGTAAGTAATCTTCACTACATCACTCTTTCCATCATTCATTCGAACATGCATATTAAACCCCACTGCACACACTAAACCATTGGGATTTTGTGAGATGCCAAAGTGATGTTGGATTTTAACTCTACTTTAAGAGCAAAATGCTTGGTGAATGAGGCACACTGTGTGCATTCTGTTCGGAATTGGAAGGACCACATGTTATTACAGTCTGTCACATGTTTCACAATGTATGTTAAATACTTAAATATGCTTTTGCAAGATTTTAAAATAAGTTTATTAAACTTACGGTGGAAATATGCTGTTATCAAACAATGTAGGTTGTTGTGTAGGTAACCATGGAAACAAGCTGTTGCCATGGTAACTTATGTCAAAGTAGTTATGACATCACAGTGTTCTGTTTCTCTGGGCTCCATAGTGGGTTAGAAACCAGTTTGTACCAAGGTTACGGTGCAGTTGAAGTGCACTTCAGCAGGTGACAGGTCAGATAGACAAACACTACGGAACATGGAGTTTCACCACGCCGACATTCCAATGACTCGGACTCAGCCCCGGAACCAGCGCAAGAGACAGCGCCAGAGAGAGCAGAAAGCAATGCTTCAAGAAGCATCAATGTCACATAATCCAACAGACACAGATAACACTGAGTCCATGACTGGTCTGCAGGACCAGGCCCTCACCGCAGAGCTGCTCACACAGACTGAAGAGCTGAAACTACAGTTAGAGAGGGAGCAGCAGAGAAACCAGGCCTCCCAGAAAGACCTCCTCACACAAATTGAGAGGCTCAAAGAGGAAGTAGAGCGGAATCCAGGGGAGATGTGGGCCTTCAAATCTCGTCACCGGGCACAGCGCGAGGAATGGATGGAGTATGTTGAGAATATGCACAAGAAAGACCTTGAAGCAAAAGATAGAATACTCAGGAGTCTTGAAAAACAAAACGCCAAAACGCATAATGTCCAGGTGAATGAAGCCCGGAAAACGGTGGCGGATGATTTACTTCATCTCCAAAATAAGCTTAACCGAAAAGACAAAAGAGCACAGACACTCCTGGATATAATCTCAGAAAAGTCTCGTCAAGAGACCATTCTGAGGAACCAGGTCACAGCTCTCCAACAGGAGCTGCAGCAGGAGCAGCAGGAGAAGGAGTTACTGAGGAGTCAGGTGACCCAACTCAAGTTGTCTCTGAGCGAAAAAGACGCAGCAGAGAGACATGTAGAGCAGTTACAGACAGAGACACAAAAGCTGTCAACAACCGTAGACACTCTCACGTCTGCCCTGGACCAAGAGAAGAGTCTCACCAGAGATGCTGTGAGAAAAATGCAAGAGAAGGAAAGAGAGACGCAAGAGCTGAAGACGCAAGTGAAAACACTAACATCTGCCCTGAACCAGGAGAAGCAGGCCACCACAGAGGCTCAGACCTCCCACACTGGTCTGCTAGAGCAGATGGAGTATGTCCAGAATGAGCACAGCAAAGAGCTGGAGGCCAAAGAGTCTGAGCTCACTCTCCTGAAACAGCAGAAGGCTTCTGCCTTTAAAGCACAAGTGGAGGAAGCGAGAAAGGCTGTGTGGGCGGAGATAGCAGACCTTAAGGTAGCTAACTTTGAAATTGAGGAGGAGTTGAATGTAAGAGACAAAAGAACCCAGGCCCTCCAAGATACAATCACCCAGAGGTTAGAAGAAGAAAAATGTCTGAAAGATCAGGTGACTGAGCCCAGACAGGCCCTGCGCGAGGAAAAACACGAGACTGAGGATTTGTGGAGAGCGGTGGAGGAACTACAGGGCAACCATAATACTAAAGATTCTCCCGCCTGCAACAGAGAAGTCTGGGAAGTCCTCAAGGAGAAGCTTCAGCAGCAGCACCGAGAGCAACTATGTGCTGAAAAACAGAGCCAGCTGATCCTGGAGCAGCAGATTCAGAAGCTGTCTGAGGATCTGACTTCCTCTCAGAAGTACAACACTGCTCTGGAGCTAGAGATCCATGAGCTCCAGGATGAGGTCAATGGGCTGCACATGAAGAGGAGGAGGAGGAGGAGCTGGTGGTGTTTGTAAAAACACACACATTAGTATTAGATGTGGTGTCCAGGACAGAGCTAACATCACAGTAAGAAGACACTAAACTTTATCTTGTCGAGTCAGATGTGACTTGAGGAGATAGGGAGAGCTAATATTAAATTAGAGAACTAGAGACACATGGTTTCTCAAACGTATCTCTAGTTTATGAACCTCAACTATTTCACTTGTTTCGAGATTTGTTTCTGGCAAATTTCAACATGTTTTTAAATTGAAACAAGAAACTTTGGCCAATGGGATAAGACATACGTCTTTTTTGATTGGCAAAGTAATTGTTTACAATTAAAAGTGTGTGTAACAAGTCAGAAATATCTAAGTGAAAGACGTTGCATGTACCTTCTACTATAATGATAGCTGAAAGTACATGTTTGCAGCATAGTAACCAGAGACATTTCCCCTTATCCTTTATCTTGTCAAGCAAAGAGCAGCTTGATGAAGTAATGGTTTTCTCATAAACTTATATAAGTAACTTATAAGATCAACACTTGTTTATGACACATACACAAGAGTTGACTCATACTTCTGAAGGCAGGCTTATTCATTTTGTAAAAACAAAAAAAGCACAAAATAGACTATACTTAATAATGGGTTAAATTAACTCAACACAAAGAAAGTATATGAACAATTTATACAAATATTTGGTAGAGCATTGGCCTTTGAGCCTTAAGGTCGTGGGTTCGATACCCTCACGAGATCTACTCCAAATTCTCCCACTCATGTCAGCTTTTGTTGTGTCGTTGGGAAAGACACTGAACCCCACATTGCCCAAAGCCCCGCTGGCAGACCAGACCAAGACTGTGTCACCGTTGGCAGAGCAGCCATTTTCCTGTGGACCCACCACCTGCAGGAGGATCAGCGAGGGACTGGTGCTATGAGCATTGGGTGGTAGCTCTCATCAAAAAATGTACAAAAAAGTATTTACACAACATATTAAAATTATATGCACTGGAATGTTGTTGTTGTTGTGTGATATCCGACATCCATCTACTCATACATGAAGACATTTGTACCAACACGTTTTTTCAATCTTACTGTTGTGTATTCTAATCTAGAGCAAGACATTTCTCTATGACATTGGTCTTGAAGGCATTTTGAAATGTGCAAATATTGTAAGAAACTCAGAGACCAAGGCCAGAGAAATATCCCTCTAGAATAAACAGTGTTGATCTTTAGAGTATAAACTTGTGATTGCCTCGAACTGTGAGCTGCCGCCTCAGTAGAGCTACACATAGATCATGAGCCTGTTCAGCGATTCTATAAATTGATTATGTTTTAAGCCCAGGGAGTTTTTGTCGTAACTGATGCGGTCTTCCTCAGACTCACGTGATGTTCTTGTAGTGCACCTTGTCATCTGTAAAAAAAATAAAAAAAGGAGAAAAAAAAGGACCACAAACAGACAGCAAAGGTACATGAACAACAAAACAAAAAGGGGCAACTCAAATATCAGAGTGTCTAAGGACAACAAATATTGACATTGGATCAAGGAAGCAATAGCGATATGAAAACAGGCCCCCGGGACGATTGGACTGGTTTGCGATATTGAGTCTCCAATACTATATCCTCACTTTCTCAAAACTTGAAAATTTGTATTCGATTAGAAAAACAAAGGTTAATTGTTGCAGACGATATAATCACATTTTGAAGTGTTGGATGTGAGACAGAGCTAAATAGACTGTAATAGAATTAGGTGGTGGTGGATTTGAAAGACTTCCAGGAGGTGTGTGGCTGTTTTCACAAACATAACAATCGGTTCTTGGAAATCAATAAGCAGCAGTGATTCTAGAAAATGACACTCTTTCCAAGAACGCCTGTCACTGTGGAAACATGACCAGAAACCAGGTCTAAAGCCCAACACATTTTGGAAACACAATAAAGTATAAATTTGTTTTTTTCTCATATCGTTTAACAGTCCTTTCAAATCAGAAATCCAGGACTTCTAAAAGCATATCAAATACTAGGGCTGTGTGAATCAACCAAGTATTAGGCAAGGCAAGGAAGGTTTTTTGTATAGCACAATTCATACACAACTCAAAGTGCTGAACAAAACGAAACAGTCACACATGGCTTTAAAATCATAAATAATCACAGTATTTAAAACCATTTCCATTTGAGAAGGCCTGTATTACTTTATGTATATATTTTTTTATTTTTTTATTGTATTTATTTGGTTTTTTTTTTGTCTCATAATAACATATTAAACAGAAAAGTGGAAAAAAAAAAGAAAAATAACAACTATCCCCAACCCCTCCCTCCCATCCCCCCTAAACCCACCCCCACCCTCACACACTCCATATACACACATCATTTGATCCAAAGTAAATAAAATCTACAACAACAAAAATAAAATAAATATAATTTAAGAATATATATTATATATATATATATATATATACATATCCATATATACATACATACACACATACATACATATACATCCATATGCATAAAAAATATATGTAATACAAATAAAATATATATATATGGGGCTGGTGCTATGAGACTTGGGTGGCATCTCTGACTGCCACCCCCTGACCCAGAAATGGATTAAAGGGTAGAAAATGGATGGATGGACAAATATAATATATAAAAATAAAAAATATGGGGAAATGAGAGATTTATAGCTAGAGCCGATAAAGGATTTAAACTATGGGCAACAAAAGGGCTCAATAAAATTCAAAAGCTCTACAGTCAGGAAGGACAACTATTTACATTTGAAGACATTATTAGATTATATGACCCCCCGCAATCACTTTTTTAAATATTTGCAATTAAGGAATTTTAAAGGCACTCAGCAGAATAATTCTATCGATCCCCCAATGATGTGTTGTAAAAAGGGTTTAATCTCTAGTTTATATTGTCTCATAATAGATAAATCAAAAGAATCCTCCACTAAAAGGCCAGAGGGCTGGAAAAAAGATCTGAAGGAGGATTTCTCTGTTGAAGATTGGAAATTAATAAGCACCAGATCACAATCAATCCCTATTAATATAAATCTGAGAATGATACAATATAAATGGATTATGAGAACCAACATAACACCTGTTAAACTAAATAGATTCAATAAAGACATATCAGATCTATGGAAGCTTGTTAGGTTCACTTGTGAGTGTGTGTTATTTCATGATACTTTCATGAAATAACATGATAAATATCATGTTATTTCATGATACACAACTATCATGTTATTTCATGATACACAACTATCATGTTATTTCATGATACACAACTATCATGTTATTTCATGATACACAACTATCATGTTATTTCATGATACCAATTTATCATGAAATAACATGATACTGTACTGTAGATACAGAAGAAGAAGAAGCTGTCAGCTTCTGATAAATTGGTATCATGAAATAACATGATAGTTGTGTATCATGAAATAACATGATAGTTGTGTATCATGAAATAACATGATAGTTGTGTATCATGAAATAACATGATAGGGAAAACACCCTTACATTTATTCAGGACATATTGGCAATCTCTATAGAGCTAGACCCAAAACTTTTGATACTTGCAAAATCACCACAAAATAACAAATGGAATTTAAAGGAAAAAATGTTTATAGAACTATGTTTGGTTCTGGCAAAGAAAGTAATCGTCAGGCATTGGAAAGATTCCTCTGGGCCGAGTACAGGTGGATTAATTAAGGAACTGATAACTACATTACCACTTGAAAGAATTACATGGACAATTAGAAATAGGTTGCAACTTTTTCATGAAATTTGGGGACCTTTTTTGCGCTACTTAGAAAGGCCAGATTCAACGTTGTTCTATAGGTATACATAACATGGAGCAAAGTGCACAGCGGAAGTATAGAGTATAGAAGAAGGGAGAAGGGAAAAAGAAAACATAAGAAGAGGTTCTATCCTTTTATTCTTTATTTTATTCTTTATTTTATAAATTCACCTGCATGTATCTAACAATATACCTATTCATGTGACTGATCTATGGACTAGGAGGTCTATGCATGTAAAAAGATACACTTTTTTTACATTTATGTATGTAGGTGTGGGCACATGACAATGTTATTATTGTTTTCTATATTTATTTACTTATTTGTGTACTTAATTATTATGACTTTTTTATTTACTTTATGTATTTTGATCACACACATATATGGTATGTTTACTTTTTACTGTATTTGTGTCTGTACTTCAATAAATAGAAAGAGAAAAGAGCAGGCATGTCAAACAGAATTAGCTTTTTGTGGCTCTTGACAAGATTTTTCAATTCTTATTATTAATTTGCAGCATTGATCATCACTGTACCATGGCATCTTTATACAGTACATCATTTTAAAGCAAGAAAACAACCATGTTATGCACTTTTTAACTCACTTTTTACATAAAAATGTAAATTTGAGTCTACATTACTTTCTGCAATTTCTAATTTGATGATTAGATGCTGAACAAACCTAGCTATTTTGTAAAAAGGTGTATTTAAACATTTTTTCCCAGGGGAACACATTTGCTTGTTTACTCAATTGCCTGAGAGGAAAATGGGTGCACTGCATTCAATTAATAAATATATTCAAAAATCAGGTTGTATTATTTTACTCTTGCATTGAAATTAATATTGGGTTCTCACATTCACAATGTCCATTAAAGACCTATAGGGAGGTACTCATGGGCAAAGTTTTCCTCCAAGTTGATCTAGCTCCTATTGATTTACATTGAAAAGTGAATTGCTTTCTCACTCATTATTTTGGGCTTATACATCTATGGTTTAGTGTCCTCGCTGATCCTGGTGTTTGTATTGTGATAATGTCTTTGTAAATCCAGGTATTAGCCTTGACCAATCCGATGCCTTCATTCACGGGGTACACTCCTGCTTGCCTTAGCAACCGTCTTAGTAACACATCGGCCCAAGTTATGGCAAAATCTTAACCCTGCAGAAGAAATACCCATATATGGAAATTGGTTTAAGCTGGCTTGTGTTTAAACAGGCCTACACTCCTTTTATACGGTCTATGGAAATTACCAGCCAACTAATATTATTAATAAATCACTGATGGAATTAAATGAAAAAGGCAGAGATATATACTTTATTCCACACGTTTCTATAGATCATAATGTAAAATTATTAGCAATACAACTGAGTTTTGGCTTCTATGTCCTCACACACACAGACACACACAGATGCATGTGGACATCTGCAGACTGATGAATGGAATGCCGCTGTGTGTTTGGGTGTTGAAGTAAATATAGATCCTCGTGACTCTAACATCAGCGAGCCGTCCAAATCTCACATCTTTTTATAGCCCTGATGCACAGAGCCTACGATGCTTCTGACTCACCCAGGACCAGCTATAGTCTCTCAAATGTGGGTTACAGGATCATTTTGAATCAGAGGATTTAAAATATGTATCTACATGAATATGTTACTACTACAAAGCAACATCCATCCATCCATTTTCTACCCTTTAATCCATTTCTGGGTCAGGGGGGTGGCAGTCAGAGATGCCACCCAAGTCTCATAGCACCAGCCCCTCACTGACCCTCTGCAGGTGGTGAGTCCACAGGAGGACGGCTGCTCTCTGAGTGTGAGCATAGCCTTGATCTTTCAGCTGGGGCTTTGGGCAAAGTGGGGTTAAGTGTCTTGCCCAATGACACAACGACAGCAGTCATCAGTGGGAGTCGGTGGAGAAGGTGCAGAGGTGGGAATTGAACCCACGACCTTCTGGGCTTAAGGCCAATGCTCTACCAACTGAGCTACTGTCGCCCCTACAAAGCAACATACAAAGAAAAATATGTGCTTGATTTAAGAAATCACCAAACAAAATGAAAAAAAACATAAAAATCGACTGTTGATTACAAATATACTAATAAAATTGGTCTGATTTGCAGAGAAAATGAAATTAAGTTGTTAAACTAGTTTAACAAGTGTTATCTACTGTAATGATCAGTCTATAAACCATTACATTTTTCAATTTCTTTGAAACTTACAGCCTATTTACTGATTGTTATATACCGGCCATTGTTTATGTTTTGCCTGGTAGAGGGTTGAGAATCCCCCAGTGCAGGATTTGGGCACAGCCCTATCAGCTGTGGTTTTATGTTTATGTGAACAGCAGAGGCGACAGTAGCTCAGTTGGTAGAGCATTGGCCTTTGAGCCTGAAGGTCGTGGGTTCAAGCCCACCTCAAGACCTACTTCGCGACTCCCACTGATGACTGCTGTCGTTGTGTCCTTGGGCAAGACACTTAACCCCACTTTGCCTGAAGCCCCCGCTGAAAGATCTCAGCTCCTGTGGACTCACCACCTGCAGGAGGATCAGTGAGGGGCTGGTGCTCTGTGACTGGGTGCAGCTCTGAATGCCACCCCCCCGACCCAGAAATGGATTAAGGGGAAGAAAATGGATGGATGGATGGTGAACAGCAGAGAGATCCAACCAGAGATATGCAGAATCTATTGGGAGTTATTTTGTTCATAAATTTAGCGTTGTATTCAGTGCTCATTTACAATAAATTGTAAAATAAAATTGAAAAAATTACTTTCTTCATTTTAGCGGCGTTTTTGTAAAAACTAACAACTTTATGGATGCAGGCTTTCAATTGTAGGAAATACACAACCTGCATATGTTTTAGAACAACTGCTTCATAAAGAAAAGTAAAATATCTTTATTTACACAGCACGTTTCACAGACCAAGGTCAAAGAAATGGATACAGTAACCGCTCAGCCCAAGGAGTCTGTCAACTGTCAAATAGCAAATGCAATGTGAAAATGGTTTATATCTTGTATGTTCTGTTTTTTTCTGACACCTCTTCATAAAATAACGTTAATCCAGTTAAACCAGTCCTTTAATGGCTTTGTTTAACAGCCTATATTCAAGTGCAGTCTAAATGTGTAAAATGATTACAAGTGTGCTTAATAGTCCAGCGTGTATATACTATTTGAAATTTGAAAAAAATAAAACCATCAAAACAACTTAACACTGGCCCCACCGCTCTCTAATATAAAAACAATACATTTTCCCCTGAGTGTCCAGATACAACACAAGTCACGGTTATCACAGCTGGTTGGAAAGCCCAGCACAAAGGCTCATTGTCGCTGTATGAGTCATGTGAAGCCCCAGGTTAAAGGCCCCACTTTGTGCCAATGGGATCCACCAGCTCTCTGCACGTGCACGACTCACATGCACATTATTGCTTTACTCTGTTAAGGTCAAGCATGTTTACAACCGCTCAAAGACATCTATTGTTCCGTCATTACACAGGATTTGGCGTCCATCACGTTACAGCCTAAACCTTGATTAAACCCTTCTCAATGGGGCACATTCTTGACTTTGTCTGGAGCCTCTATTCTTCCCTCTTTTTCTCCCTCCTCAATGTGGTCTCCATCAGCACAGCACCAGAGCTGAGGAAATGGATGGTGAGGCTATTTTTAGAAGCAGGGAAGGAGGGCAGAGCAAAAGTAAGCTATGGAGAGAGGGAGGGAGGGATGATGAGGATATCAATCTGTATTCGCCCGCTGCTGCTGCTGCTGCTGCTGCTACTGCTGCTGCTGCTGGCCAGAGACACTCGGAGACACAAGAAAGAGAAGAACCTCCACACTTATAAACAAGACATCCGTGGAGCAGGTGAGTCGAACAACATATTTGCGTATAATGAAATACATTGAAAAACTGTAATCCTTGGTGTGTGTGTGTGTATAGGTACAGACTTGTGGGGGGCTATATTTAGAAATGTGCGAGTACTTTTTGGTAGAAACTGGGTGAGGCTGGCATTTTTGGCTTTGGGTAGGCTCTATTTTTGGCATCAAGGTCGCCGTATACCAAAATATACTGTGGCCAGGGTTAGAGCAAGAGAGAAAAAACACAGAGTGGATACACAGTCAATGGTTTTAACACGTCTGGATCAGCATTTCTATTTAAGCTGGCTTCTTCTGCCAAAAACATACTGGGAGGATTGTCTAATATTGGGCTGTTTACACTTGGCTCTCCAATGTCAATACGGGTGGCCTCTGCTTTGTTTAAACCAGTACAGTATCACATACATTCATGTAGTACTCACAAATATTTCTAATCTGGGTGTAGTATTGTGTGACACTCGGTTACGTAAAATTTAAAAACATTATTGCATAACCGTGATGCCGCTATTTCTCTATTAATATATGAATGAAAGTAGATGAATGCGATAATGTAAACAAATGATCCGGACCGATATTTGTCACACAGTGTACTCTGTGTGCCACTTAAAGCTGGGTAGACAGAAAGAAAAGGATGAAAATATCCACATTTTAATAAAACCAGGTCTCAGCAGAACTAAACAGATATAAAGACGTATGTTTATTTAAAGCTGGTCTATCTATCCTTTCAACCCAACTTTATTAAAATCCATGTAACTCCCTCAAAACAGTTTTGTCCATTCACTATCATCTTAACATATATTTTTAGGCCTCTGTCACATTTTTAGAACATTTCTCAGACAGAAGAGTGGTCTCAGCCCAAAGCGTCAAACAGTGACTCACAGGGTTTGCAAAATTAGAATCAGAATCCTTTTTAGTGCCATGTGAGAAACAGGAAGTCACAAACAAGGATCACGGTGCAAACAAGTTAAAGCAGAATAAAAAACACAAGATAACAGCTAAGCAATGCTATTTTTATTGAGATAAAGCGGGTGAAAATAGTCTCTTTTTGTATTTGTCTAGTTTAAACAGACATGCTTTGTTCACTTTATGATTAAGATTAAGAAAACCTTTATTTCAGTGTTGCATCACAAATTACAGGCAGTAGGAATAAGGAGCTCACAGCACAGATTAAAAGCATAATCACTCCAAACTAAACTAAAATAACTCTAGCATAAAAATAAGCAGCATTAATCATCTTTATTTTGCATAATAAGGAAATCTCTAATTTTAGCATGATGAAGAAGCAAGACTTTGATCAGAAGGAAACCACTACACATACATAATTGTGAACACACAGTAACAAGTCATCTGTACATTTTTCAAACTGTTGGTATAATTTTTCCCGTCTCCAGAGATGCGTCCACGCTCCAGGCATCCCTCCAAGCGGCCCCTCCTGCTGCCCACCATCAAGGAGGGCTCAGAGGAGATGGTGCGGGAGATGAACGAAGCCAACGCCTGCACCCACAGCCAGAGCTCCTCCGAGGACTACTTCCTGTCCATCTGCCACCTGGCCCACCCCACATTCCCAACAAGAGACACACCACCCCATAGCAACCACTCACGAGACGGGAGGATGGGTTGCTATGAACACTCAGACCCACTGGAGCATCTCTACGGGCATCCCAACTGCGGCCTCAGCTCGGAGAGACGGCACAAGCGGTCCCACGAGAGGACGCGGGCGCACAGTATTCCCAACACTTCCACTCTGGATATGAGCAGTCAGCGCAAAAGCAGTTGCCCCGAGTTACACAGTGCATCTCAAAATGAATGTTTACCACAGATGGACACGACAGCAGTGATGGAGGAGGAGAGACAAGATCCAAGATGCATCAAACCCTCGCTCATCTCCCAGTGGATCTCGGACTGTCGCTTGGCCTGGAGAGAAGCACGGGCACGAGCCTGCATGCTGCCCGCCATCGTTGAGATTTAGGGCTCTGTCAATAAGAGACACTTTAGTGAGGGTAGCTTCAGGCTTGGTCTATTTACAGTTTATGGTCTATACACAATTAGGGCCTGTTTTTAAAGGAATGGTTTAAAAATATCAGCCAAAGCCAATTCTGATAGTATGCAAATAATGATAAATCCCATGGACTATACTATAAACCATGACACCCACAAGTTTAAAAATATTTACATGTATACATATGTATATTCTGGAACCTGGAGCTACCTTATGTGCACACAGCTGTGTTGAAAATGCATAAAATGTTGAAAATGCAGAATATGTAATGTTATGTCTTGAAATCGCAGTGTCTGTGTTCAAGCCTATACACCTGATGTGCAAAGCTGTTTTTTAAACTTGTTTTTGTGAAAACATTCTGAATAAAAGCTTTTGATACTTTCTTTATGCTGTGATTCTGACAATCCGGTCTCTAGCCTCAGATCTGCTGGTGCTTTGTGTGAAGGGGTTTCTATGGTAACTCGTGGGATCCCACTCAGTAACTGTGTGGAGGCAAACAGAAATGAATGAATCAACTCAAAATAACAAAATAAAGGGCGGGGGAGTATTGTACTGTAGAAATTATTTTATTATCAGTGTTTGTAAGAATCTCAAAGTGGTCTTGGCAATGTTGCGATAACAGAAGGTAAAGATATTGATTTAATCTAAAGAAATTTATAGTTTCCATGAATGAAAAAGCAGGTCTAAATTGACATTTATTTAACCAGTTAAATAAATGTCAATAACTAACATGTAAACTATCCTCTGGTAGCAGTTCCATATGTGATCACTAGAGGCCGCTTATGAAAGAGTTTTCACTTCATTCTACTTTATTCCACACATTAGGCATAATCCATCAGCTCTGTTCTTACATAAAATGTCCTGGTAGAAGGATTAGTGGTTTACATGGCTGTGGTATTGGTGCTGTCACTTTTTTAGCAGATTTAAGCTTTTTTAGGTCAGCAAAGTAATCACTAAATAGCACAGATGGATTTCCCCCTGATTCTCTGCTTTGTACAACACAACAGCTGAGGCTGGTGGTTTCGGCTTATAGCAATGTTAAAAACAACAACTGGGCCATAGGGACTCTATGTGTTTTGTTGTGTTGATATTGAATGCAACTAGAAGAAATAGGGTGTCTTGAGGTAGGGGTCAGTAGCATTACAAAGAAAAGGGCCTTTATTGAAAAAAAGTATACTTTGTAGCCTATGTAACACAGGTACTGTACTAGTTAACATCAACTGTAAATACACCAATGAGAAAGCAACAAGCCCTTACACCAGTTCAGCGCTCGGGCCTAATAATAAAGTACCAACAATAATTTTAATGGCCTCACAAACAGGATTTAAGACTAGATCTGAAATGATTGAAGGCTGCAGCAACAATCTGCGTGTTCTGTTTTCAACAGTTAATAGATTAACAAACCCCCCTGTTCAGATGCCATTAGAGCTAACTTCCAAACGTAAATGTAATGAGTTTGCACATTTTTTCAATGACAAGGTTCAAGGCATCAAAAACGCCATTGTCTCCAATCCACAGATAACCATCCAACAGCCTAAAAGGCTCTTTGAGCTAACTCACTTTGCACCTGTAAATGATCAAACTGTCCAAGAGATAATCTCCAGTCTGAGCTCCTCCACATGCAGCTTGGATGTACTACCCACTAGATTTCTAAAGTCTGTTCTGAGCAGTCTGTTACCTTCACTCACACAGATAGTAAACATGTCCCTTCATTCTGGAATATTCCCAAAGGCCCTGAAAACTGCAGTCATCAGGCCCCTGCTTAAAAAGAGCAGTCTGGATGCTACGGTACTTAACAACTATCGTCCCATCTCAAATCTGCCATTTATGGGGAAAGTCCTTGAAAAAGTTGTCTACCAACAGCTAAATAGATTTCTTATAATCAACAACTCATTTGATATGTTTCAGTCCGGCTTTAGACCCCACCACAGCACTGAGACTGCTCTCGTCAAGGTTACAAACGATATCCGGCTAAACACTGACGCAGGCAAAGTCTCAATCCTAATCCTGTTAGATCTGAGTGCTGCCTTTGACACTGTCGACCATGAGATCCTCTTACAGAGACTAGAGGACTGGGTTGGCGTCGCTGGCACCGCCCTAAGTTGGTTTAGGTCTTACCTTGAAGACAGGAAGTACTTTGTGGAGATTGGAAACTGTGTCTCAGATCATATGGCCCTGACCTGTGGAGTACCACAGGGGTCGATCCTGGGAAATCTAGGGGTAATACTGGACTCAGACTTAAATTTTAATAGCCACATCAAATCAGTAACATCAGCAGCTTTTTACCATCTAAAAAACATTTCCAGGATCAAAAACATAGTGTCTAAAGCAGACTTGGAGATTCTTATCCATGCATTTGTCTCCAGTAGGTTAGACTACTGCAATGGCCTGCTCACAGGTCTATCCAAACAGGCTGTAAAACAGCTGCAGTACATTCAAAATGCAGCAGCTCGAGTCCTGACTAGAACCAGGAAGTACGACCACATTAGTCCGGTCCTCAGGTCTCTGCACTGGCTTCCTGTGGCTCAGAGAATAGACTTTAAAACAGCTTTGCTTGTGTACAAGTCTCTCCATGGCCTCGCACCAAAATATATTAGTGACATGTTAGTCCCATATGAACCAGCCCGGACTCTGAGGAGCACAGGGACTGGACTCCTGTTAGTGCCCAGAGTCAGGACTAAACATGGGGAGGCTGCTTTTCAGATTCATGCTGCTAAAATCTGGAACATTCTTCCTGAAGATGTGAGACAGGCCTCCTCTCTGACTATGTTTAAAACCAAGTTAAAAACTGTGCTGTTTAGCTGTGCATACAACTGAGGGATTTTATATTTTTATCTTTCTTTTTAATGTTCTGTGATTATTTATGATTTTAATGCTATCTTGTTCAGCACTTTGAGTTGCCTTGTGTATGAATTGTGCTATACAAATAAACTTGCCTTGCCTTGCCTTGCCTAGATGAAAAGTGCTCATTACTGAATGTAGTAGCCTCCAATATGTACACCCATAGACTTTCCCATAGACGCCACGTCACCATGTCTGTACCAAAGGCTGTTCCATAAATAAACTGTTTTTTTTTTTGAGGGCGCAACATTGTTATATTGTGGAGGGCCAAACCCATTTCCCCGCTATTTCATTGAACACATATTTCTTTTTTCTGTTAAAGCTACTTCATCCATCCATCCATTTTCTACCCCTTAATCCATTTCCGGGTCAGGAGGGTGGCAATCAGCTACCACCCAATTCACAGAGCACCACCCCTCACTGATCCTCCTGCAGGTGGTGTGTCTGTGGGAGAATAGCCTTGATCTCTCAGTAGCATGGGGTTAAGTGACCAAGGACACAACCCACTCTACTCTTCTCTACCCCGATTGGGAGCGCTTCCACCGGCCCAAACTGGTACCAGGTACCTTTTTAGTACCTGTCTGGCCCTGATTCTTTCCAGGCTGGGTAGGTACTAAAGTGTTCTAACTGACAAATATTACCTAGAATGTGGCTAAAAGCCAAGGTTACCAAGGAATTTCCCCAGATACTGGTTTGTGATGGGTAGGTTACTAGGATATGGTACTAGATATAAGTGTGTGGAAACACAACCAGGAAGCTTAGAGTATAGAGCGGAGCAGAGTAGAGTAGAGTATAGGGTAGAGTAGAGCTGAGTAGAGTAGAGTAGAATAGAGTAGAGCAGAGCCAATAAAAATCATGTGGCTTTTCCTGACAACAAACAACAAACAAAAACACCATTAAAACGTTTTATTTCCATGAAAACCACATGAAGTTTGTATCCTGGTTGATCTTTTGTACAAACAAAAGACTATTAATAAACATCATTCTCAGTTTGATTAAATGTGGGCAGGTTCTCTGCTCTGCACGGACACAAGGGCAACTGCAAATCTCCTTAAAGAATGTGAATGACACATGGAGTTTATTGACTTTGCCTGTGACAAAAAACAAAAAAACTGTTGCCGTTTATATGTCTGACATGAGCTTGTGAGAATGAACTGAAAGGCTGACCACTCTTCCAAAGAGACAGGTTGAAAAGCAACTGTTTTACGAAGCATTTTCAAACTCTATAGTGGTCGGTTCAAATTGTGAAGATGCAGAGGCATTTTTAAATGCAAGCGCCAGTTTCCTGATTGGACGAAATTCCATTGTGAGATGGCCACACAGCAGGTTTCTGGGAATTAAAGTTTTAAAAGAATACGCTCGTGACCGCGGGGCACTTGCTGTTGTTTGCTACGAACTGAAGTCCGCCTCCTCCGTGGCCGCAGCGTTCTGACCCAGGGCAGCTGAGGCCGCTCGCTGTGAGCCGCTAACAACAACGCGGTAACGTGTTTATATCCAAGACCATTCGTGCAAAGAACTATTCTCTGCATGTTGTGTGTGTGTCTTTGAGTTACCTGTGCACGCAATAAATACACATATACTGAAGCTGAACTATGGAGCCTTAGGAAGTGTCCGTGTCTCCGACTGAAATGCAACAAAACACGCTAAACTAAAGCTGGGGTACATACATTTTCCCTTTCATTAACAGCTCACGTTGGTTGTGCCTAAAAGTAAAAGTGAGCAAATCAAATAGATTTAAGTACATTTGGTATGAATGACAATGTGTTATAACATTTGATAATCTCATTTAACGTCAGTTGGAGTGGATTGAAATAGAAGGTTTAGAATGCGATTAATCCTGAGTTAACTCAGCATTACTATGTGATATATCAACTAAAAAAATGTAATCGTTTGACAACCCTAATAAATATATAGATACATATATGATATCTTATTGTATTATTCATATCCATCTGATAATTCTCCCATTCAAGTCACTTTACCTGTTGATATTATTTCTGATGCTTATTCTGCTCATATTCTCATATTCTCCGCTGCTAATGTATAATATAGACATCTGTAAATACTCCGAACCAAGTGAAATTGTAGCCCAGATTTTCTTATTTTATTTTATTTTATCTTAAATTTAT